TCGCCTTATTTGAGAAATAAGTGAGATCAATGGATGGCCTGTGAGATATAAATTTGTATGTCAGCAAATTTTGAAGTCAAAACTAATTGTATTTTTATTTATCTTTAGCCTCTATCTTTCGAAATTAAAGCAAAAATGCCTCATCATGTTGAATTCAGTAAAAATATCATTTAGAATAATTATTGTGTGAGTGAGGACGCATTGTATTTATATATTTTGAATTGGTTGCAAAAGTATTGAGTTTTTAGGAGTTAAAATATGTCAATTTTTAGTCTCTGTAAAAGTTTAACCGGTTGCATTTTCAAACAGAATCAGTTACACATTATGCATGTCAAATTATAACTCTCGATCGAAATAGAACCATTTGTACTTCAAAACACAACCGATTACACTCTTTGTTATTGAAATAGCTCTCAATAAAAACACAATCAATTAAATTCTAAACAAAACTAATAGTGTTTTTAAATATACCAAATTTCAACTTTTGATAACTTTTTAGTTTTCTGTTTTTATCAATTTAGTTAATACTATAAAAATATCAACTCTCTCTTTTTTATTCCAAGTAACATGCATCATAAACACCAATAGTCGGCAACCACAAAATATCATAAAATCTCGTCAAACGTGTTTCATTGTTTAGGGGCCTAGGATTCCGATGAATAAATGGCGTAACAAACTGACAAATGACTTTTAAAAACAAAAACACCGACGAGGACCACTTGGAAAGACATTTTCATAAAATTATTATTTATACTTGTATATCTATTTATTCGTACATATAAGCCCCTGGTTTTCATGCAACAAGAGAGAGAAGTGTCTCTATAATACTCGGTTGGATTGGGCCGATCTATGGCTTTGTTTGGGCTTAGCCTGTTTTGCTTTGTTGGTTTCTTTAATCTTTGATGGTTTAGGCAGTCCATTATTCGTGGGCTTCCCTTTCAAGGCGATGCCTTGTATATTTGTATTCCTCTTTTATTAATGAAAGTTGCTTACTTTCCGAAATAAAAAAAAAACAAAGAGAGAAGCCCACTCGGATCTACTTCAAAGTCATGTTGGATCCATATAGTCGTCGGTGATGTGTTATAAAGTTTTATACTATATTTAGTCCATTCAAATACTTTAATCCATTTTGGTACGAGTATGAAAATGGAATAGGAATGGGTTTTAGCCCAATAAAGAGTTAAGCGGCCCAAACAAAGCTTAAGCCCAAAACGATTGAGATATAAATTTGTGTATGTTGCAAATTTTGAAGTCAAAATGTATTGTATTTTTATTTATCTTTAGTCTCTGTCTTTCGAAATTAAAGCTAAATGTCTCGTCCTGTTGAATCCAGTAAAAATATCTTTTAGAATAAGTATCGTGTGAGTGGACACCAATTGTATTTTTATTTATCTTTAGTCTCTGTCTTTCGAAATTAAAGCGTAAATGTCTCGTCCTGTTGAATCCACTAAAAATATCATTTAGAATAAGTATTGTGTGAGTGGACACGTGGCATTTATATGTTTCGACTTGGTTACAAAAGCATTGAACTTTTAGGAGTCAAAACATGTCAACTTTTTGCCTCGGTAAAAGTTCAACCGGTTGCACTTTCAAACAGATCGAATCAATTGCGTATTATGCATGTCAAATTGTAGCTCTCAGCCAAAACAGAACCCCTTGCACTTCAAAACACAACCGATTACACTCTCTGTTATTGAAATAGCTCTCAGTAAAAATAGAATCAGTTACATTTTAAACAGAATCAGTAGTGCTTTCCTGAATATACGAGATTTTAACTTTTGGTAACTTTTTAGTTTTCTGTTTTTATCAAAACTCCTAGGGATATCCTTGATGGATTTTAAAACCCCCTTTTACTCATTATGAGGACTCTCTAACATAATTTGAACTTTTGTCATAGAGGATTTTTGAGAGGCTAATGTGATTATAAAGTTTAGAATTTTGAAATCTTAACATGATCTAGCACTTTCGCAGCCAAGCTATATTAAGAAGATTCTAAGAATGTTTACTAACTTTTCATATATTGTAGTCTCTGTTCTTATTTTTCCCAGATTGAAGAGCAATAAATCAATTTGAATTCCTGAATTATTAGTGGTCTTTATGACACGACGGGCAAACATAATTTTCATAGTTGATACTTTAATCAACTGAACAAGTATATATTCCGAAAAGATATCATTGGATTTCTCTTGTGAGAATATTGAGGTACTTGTGGGGTATTATGAATTAGAGATAATATTTTGGCAAATATCCAATACTACTTGGAATATTAAAATATGATGATTCCTTATTTGTGACGGCCTAAATCTTCATGGAGCTGCAATCTCATGGAAATAAAAATGGCACATTTGTCTAACTTATTCCATGATTGAAATCTGACTGTTATTGCATTTTCTCTGTTGAATAGTAAGTTGTGTGATTATAAAATTCGATACGAAATAAGTCAACACTGCCCTTTATAGTTTTTTTGTGACAGTAAGGTTGCAATTATTCAATCTCATAGTGAATGTTAGAACAAAATCCTCACGTGTGCAATTGAAGCGCAATCATATAAGAGAATGGTACATACTTTCCAATACCAAGTGAATAAAATAGAAAATAATGATCATTTCTTATTGTAATTTAAAGTTCGTGAAAGGATGAGTAGCGTGACTGATCATTTCATACCTTCCCTTACAAAGAGAGTTAATCTTGGGCTTCAGATTATGGGGGATTCTTTTGGATGTGTGATGGACATGTCCTCCAATGCTATGATTTTCGTTGACTAAGCCCTGCCCATTGGTGGGCTATAAACCTTCCTTTCTTGGGCTCCCTTTTCGCCGGCCTTCAACAGTTTACAACACATTAATAATTTTAAATTTTATGTTCTTATAAATTATATTAAGAAATTTGGTAATATTAAAAAAAAAAAAAAAAATTGTCTTGAGAAGATGATTTAAGTAGGCTCACGTTTGTGTTAAGGTTGATGTGCTTTAAATCAATTTGTATTAGTTATTAATCTTTTCAACTATTTAATAAATAGATGGTATTTGAGTTTGACCAAAGTGTAATTTAATAAATCGATGGTGCTTGAGTTTTTTTTTTTTTTTTCCTAGCAAATTAAGGAGGACTTGAATACGGGTACACTCACTCGGAGAGTTGGATGCTATACCAATGAAATCATTGAATAATGCCCAATGGTATTTGAATTTGATTGAAGTGCAATATATTTTATAATATATGTTTAATTTGACATCTAATCCAAATAATATAAAAATGATATCATTGATATGGTATCATATACCATATAAGAATATTTTTCCTAATTGGAATTTACACACACATGCTTCTATTGTGACTTAAACCCCTAATCTCTCTTTGAGAAGTAGGGACTTAGTACTGTTAGGTCACTAACATGTTAGTACCATATAAGAATATGATTGCACCAAAATATTTGAAAGTTAAAATGAAATTGAAAAAATTAAGAGGAAGTGAGAGAAGGGCAGATATTGGTCAAGATATACTTTTCTTATATGTCACCAACCATGTTCAACCTATTAAGCAGGGCATGTGGAGGAATTGATGTAGTGGAAATTACTGGACTTAAAAGTGTATGTTTGGAGGCATAGTTGATAGCGACTTAAAACTAATTAAGACGGTATTTGTTCATTTCTTTACGTAATTTGTTTTGTTTTTGGAATATTAATCAGCCCTCAAAATAAATCAATGTGGTAAAAACTAAGAAGAACAATGTGTGATTATATATATATATATATGTGCGTGTGTGTGTTTTGATTCACTAGATATATTGGTTCTTGTTCAAATTAGAATTATAAATAATTACATATTGATTTAGGTGCACAACCCTATCAAAGTATACGTGTCTATAAATATGGTGGTTGATAAATAGGGGAGTGGTGGTAGGAGGTTGTGAGGGGAGGGGTAGTGGCCATCGTCGGAGGGTGGAGGTATAAGAGGTGGAGATAGCTATGGTTACAAGGTGGGGTGTAAGAGGTGGAGAAAATAAAGTAATAGACGTATGGAAGGAGAAAGAAAATAAATATAATAATGATAAATTTTTTATTTTTTAAAAAGTTATAATAAGAGTGAATTGTTGTGCCTCAAAATGCTATAATTTTGAAGCATATGACAAGACCGCAGAACCTCCTCAGCAAGAGGGTTCCAAGTCCGAACTTTAAAATTAAAAAAAAATAAATAAATACCATCACTCAAACTATAGCATTAAGGAATGTCAAAACTCAAAAGAGAAAAGATGAGCATTAAAATACTTTATTTATTTATTTATTTTATAGAAATGGCCGGTAATTACCACGATCTAGGCATTATACATCAGTTTCTAAAATATAATTTACCTTTAATTTCATCTAACTTAACTTGGAATAATACCACAAAGTCTTCATCTTGGAAGTCAAAATAAGGGGAATCCATCATTTGATTTTGCTTTGCATGGTAATTCCATCGAACTGCTATTAATGCTACGAATGGTCTAGATGACTTGACCATACATTAATTCATGTATTGATGGAATCCAATAAAATAAAAAAATGATAGATAAAGAATCAAGCATAATAAGCATTAATTAGGCAAACTTGAAGAGTAAAAAAAAAAAAAAAAAAGGAAAATGGATAGCATTGATAATTAAATAATCTTGTTTTTCTAAATTTCCCATTTTTTTGGTTTACTTTCAGGTGAATGATACTATAGTTAACGAGATTGAGATGTACAAGTATACTTTTGAAATGGGAAAACTATAACTAAAATCCAAAACTACATATTATATATGTAACCTTCCAGTTAATTTCCAGTCTAAAACTGGAATATTCAATTTTTTATTTTTTTTTATTTTTTTATTTTTGTTGTTGTTGTTGTTGTTGTTGTTGAAATATTCAACAACTCAATTCAACGAACGTGTCATATGCGTCTTCCTCGTTGGTGACCCAAAGACCCTTATCTGCTATATATACACTTGACACATGTAGCTAATATGACCATCTCCAATTCTCCATACATCTTGGGATATCATCAAATTTGTATTTTGAGAAGCAATGGCAAGTAACACCCAAAGCTTTCTGGTGACATTAATGATCTTCATGGTCATTCTATCTCCAGCTTTACCATCCGATGCAGCCCAGATTACTCCTCGAGGTATATTTTCCATCACAACCATATGATTTGCTGACCTTAATTACTTACTGATCCAGATGATCAAATTTTTTATTTTGTTTTTGTTTTTTTATTTTGATTTTGATTAAATATTTTTGGTTTCTTTCTTTGAACTCATGCAGAACTCAGGCAGAAACCATCTTGCCCTCCTTGTATGTGTTGCCAAAACACACCACCACCACCATGTTGCTACTGTGCCTGTTTTGTTACTACTGGACACGGTTCGCCATAGAACCAGTTTTATTGCCCCTTTACACTAGCCGGTCCAAGATTGATATACTGTTTTTTCATACTATTTATAGTGGAATGAAATGTATATGTGTTTTTTCTTTTCTTTTTTGGCAATACAAATTAATTTGCATACTGTAACCGTGTTTGTTTTTTTTCCTAAATGAAACCGTGTTTGTTTTTTTTCCTAAATGAAACCGTGTTTGTTCAATAATGCAGCAGAATATGAAGTGTTTTAGTTTTATTAATTAGGAATGTGAAATTTCACCCTATATTTTGTATAATTTACAACAATTTATCTATAAACAAAATTTCCATCAATTCGGCCATATGTTGAATGGGAATTGCTAGTTACACTTGCGTGCTGAATCTTTTGCATTTTTTTTTTTTTTGTGGTTACAATTGTGTTGCAGTTCAATTGATTTGCAGTGCTCAAGTAAAAAATAAAACAGAAAAAATTGGAGCTGACAGGAAGGGAGATAAATCTTTGCCAGAAAATTAACGAAAACATTAAAATAACATTAAATGCTTGAACCACTTGACTCCTCTACCTAAGAAAACCGCTTAATTTTAGTAGCCAGTTTACTTGAGAACTTATAAGAGTTGACTTAACATAATTTGAGGCAGTATATAATAATTTTTTGTAATTAGAATATCTCAATCAAATTATATGGACAAAACATCAAGTGCATCAGGCACTTGGTACTACATCTTCATATTGTGAATATAATAGCATGCTGAAGAACAAGACAAAGTGAGAAAAACACTATTAATGTTTTAATTTTGAATAAATAATATCTATATCCTTTATTTACCAAAAATATATATATATATATATATATATATCCTTTATTTTGGGTATATAACTCCATTAAGTTCAAAAAAATAAGCAAAGCAGAGTTTATGTTATATATATAAGCCCGTGAAATTTGAAAAATAACTTGAAATCACTAGTAAGATATAAAATTCTAAAAACAATTTTTCTCTTCCAATAATGCCCTTATATGGGCAAAGTGAGAAAAACACTCTTAATATTTACATTTTGGGCAACTAGCACCCATATCCTTTATTTTGAGTATATAAGTCCGTTAAGTTTGAAAAAATGTGACAAAGAAGGACTTGAGGTTATTATTTCGTTAAAAATTTATGCACATGACATTTTTAAGATATAAAATTTAAAAAATGCCCTTCTCTCTTCCGATAATGCCCTTACATATATACACACTTGTCACATTTAATTAGTTTTTTTACCCATTTTTTATTCAATTATAGAGGGATACTTTAGTCTTTTCAGCATTCAAGTCTTTGTTTGTACCAAAATTGAATTTTAAGGAAGTTTTAGAATGTATAGAGGTTATATACTCTATATGCATACCACAGGGTGTTTTTTGTCCGCAACCCTATATTATGTATTTATAAATAAAGACAGTTTAGTTATTTCACATTTAATTAATTTTTTTACTTATTTTTTATTCAAGACACTTTAGTCTTTTCAACATTCAGATCTTTATTTGCTCCAAAAATTAAATGTTAGGGACTTTTTAAAATGTACATAGAGTTATACACTCTATATGCATACCATATACGTGTTTTTTCCACTTGCGACCCTTGATTGAATTGGAATTAAAGAAGATAATTAAAAACGTAAACCAGACACTCAATGCATATTTCATAAATTTAGTATTACAAATGAGAAGTATGACTAAAATTATTTCAAATTATTTTAATAAAAGTTAGAAAGGAGAACTAAAGTTTTTGAGATAGATTGCCTTATTTTTGAATTTCAATGTTGTCCACCCCTTTTCTTCAACTATTTTGACCGACAATGGCCGCCATCCCCCAAGTTGTCAAAGAAATTTCGCTCGCCAAAGGAAAAATGCTTTACTTCTTGAGCAGGCTGTTAGAATTTTCACTTTCAGATTTGCGTGTGTGAGAGGTTTCTCGCCTATCCTCTTTTAAGTTGTGATTTGTGAGAGATGTTTTCGTGTATCTAGAATGCCATGGCAGTAAATACTGGACTAGTAAATTAAATTGGAATGGCTTTACATCATTTGGAACGAGATATATTTTTGTCATTTTTTTTTATGATTCTTTTTGTTATTATTATTACTATTAATTAAAGTTATTCCACCTTTGAGGGGTAAATTAATCCCTTCCATAGTCACAATGACAATCAAATCTCAATGTCGGATAAATTCAAAAAAAAAAAAAAACTGTTAGTGGGTTAGTATCTTTCGTGAATTTTGAAATACTCTATTCTTTACTAATCTAACTTCTAATCCTTCTTCCTTTGTGAAAAATATAAAATAAAATAAATTTGACTCAAAAATAAAAGCCAACTATTCCATGTGGTCAACTAATAATTAAGTAGACAGCTTAGTCCATTTGATCAACTTGTAGGTTCCTGACTTGCTTGCTACGTCTGACAAGTTTTCTAGCGTGATACATTGAATGGAAATAAGTCTGAAGTTGAATAAGATGGTCTTTAATTAATCAGGAAATAAGAATTTTATTTGTATGCAAAGTTAAAAATAATAATACTCTTACGATAATTCATAAGTAAAAAGAGTTATGAAGTCATTATATTTAATCATTATATTGAGATATTTTTTTAAAATTAATAAAAAAAATTAAATAGATCATTTAATAAAAAAATTAATTTATTAAACTGAAGTTTTTTAATTAAAAACAGTACTCGGTTAACAAAGTCAGCTTGCACAACTTGAAAAAGCACATTGACTCAAGGACCTTACCCCAAAATAAATAAATACATTGACTCTACAAGACAAGTCAACAAGCAAACTGACGAAATCCCAATAAAAAAAATTGGTGAAATGGAATATCTATACTAATCATGAATCAGTACTGCAACTCAAGCATTCAATTTACAACATGACTTTCAGTTTATAGAGAAATTTAATTTTACTGGTAATTTTAAAGTTGAAACTTTATTTTGTGTTGATTATTGCGAAGCCGTGGTCTGAATTTTATTTTAATCCATTGTAATTCAGTTTTGATCAAATATGAGGGGAATTTTTTTTTTGACCCATTTTCTCTTATTGGTCATGGATTCGGTTATAAAAAAGCCCATGTAAGGAATTTCAAGAATGGCTGTGTGTCAGAGTGTGAAGAGAGTATATTAACATCTGAGGTATTTACAAATAGTATTTCTTATAAACTGTCATTGAAACTCTTATTTTGTCTCGACTCTTTATATACGACAAATGAATATATAATTTTCAAGAAAAAACATGTAGTGAGGGACACCACATAATAAATACTCCAAATATTATAAATATTTTTGAGTTAGAAACGGGAGTGATTTGAAAGTTAAAACATATAATTTTTTATTTGTTAAATGTGTTAGGAAACGTGCTAGTTTTAAAAACTTTTCGAGGGATTTAAATTCATAAATCTTGATTCATTACATAGAGACAAGTTTTATGCAAAAATAAAATATGATGTATCATTCAATTAAAAGATTGAATACTTACATCAAGATTTGATTAAACCTTAAATCTCTCATCTAAAGTGAATGTTCTCACTTATTGTAGATCCCTTAGCAAGATGCATTCTCCTTGGATCTCCATTTTCTTGGTAATTATTTTGCCTTTAGGAATAACTCATATGCCTCCATGAATGACCTTGGAAAATTAGGCTTGTGGGAGCCTCCATTAGATGAAAACATAAACCCTAATTTTCTAGAGAGAAAATTTATTCCTTTTTTCCTTCTCATTAAAATCACACCCTAAAAAATACATAAACCATGTATATTTATAAGCAACATAAAAATAAAGAAAAGGAAACAACAAATCCTTCTCCATCTCTAATTCATATGTCTCAAATCTAATATGATTCCAATATCAAGTTGGGCTATGAGTGAGAATCCATTGGGCCTATTATTTTATTGGCTACAATGAATTAATAATTGGCCCGGTCCATGGACCCAATTCAATTAATTCATAAATTAATTTCTACTCCACTAAAAGAAATTAATTGAACTCCAATTAAATAATAAATAACCTCTAAATCAATATTGCACTTTGACCCTCTATGCATAATTAGTTATCGGATAAATATAGTCATCAATCCGACTACTTAATTAATATATTTATTTTGGTACCTTTGATTATTTCTGACTCGATCATAATAAAACATTTGTTTGACAAAAATAATAATTTAAATAAATAAATATATAATAAATTATTTTGTCTAAAAACACACGAAGGCCTTCGAATTTACTTTGTGATCAACCATAATCAATACAAAATAAATACAAGTAGCAATGATGCAAATATTGAAAATATAACCCTCTAATTATTAATTACATAACTACCCAAAGTGTCGGTCTAAGGATTCCGAAGAATCCGCCGAACAAATCAAAGTAATTATTAATTAATAAAAGAGTTTATAATTTTCTCATGCTTAAGAGTCAAATGCCATGACGGTGATAGGGAGCAATTGCATACGACGGCTCTCGCAATATATCTTAACGCGGATCCAGTTCAAATCTTAATTAATTATGAGTCCATCCATAATTACCGACTATGACCCATTTATGATTACTATTTATATATCATGCATTGATTGCCATCACATACATCTATATAAATATCTCTTGTAATCAAATGGACACTATCAATTCTATAATGAATCGAAATATAATACATTAAATTCACCAATTGTATAAAACATAAATATTTTAGAAACGTCAGGAATATATGTCACTTTAATCCAAACAGGAATTTGTTATGCCATGGCATATAAATCCCAACAAAATGTTCATTATGTACATAAAATTTATGCCAGAGTATGTTGTGTTTTTTTTTTTTTTTTTCCGATTCTTAATTGTTGGTACACGGTATTTGTCGAAACAATTTTGTGTTCCCAACAATTATGTGCTGATGTATTCTCTTTGTTGAATTGGGTTGGAGTTGCCCAACGTTTCTAATGAATGAATTCCAATTCAACAATGGAACTGTTGGTAGCATGACATGACACAAATTGAGAATTTATTTATTTATTTTTATTTAAAAATAACTGTACGTACGCAGTGGAGAAGTAAGAACTTTCCTTCCCTCATACCATTTACCTTCTATGCATTGTCTACAGAAATGAAAAATAATTAAGCAGATAATTTTGTTCTTAAATAAACTTGGCCTTGTATCAGTATAACAAATTTACTAATCAAAACTTAAATTTTCCTATTTTGCTCATCACCGCCAGCCAATAATATTATTATTATAATATTGAGATTATTCTTGCTAATCTAACCAGTGGAATTCAAATGAAGATGTAATAAGCATCAATTTATATATATATATATATATATATATATATATATATATATACACATACAGTAGTGTTCAATTGCTCTCTAGTAAGCAGGGATCAATATGCTCACTTTTAATTATAATCTTAGGATTTAATTCAACGATAATGACATAACCAATCTTACTTTTCTCTATTTTAAGATACTTACCAATTTTTTATATTATCATTAAATATAATTAGGATGAAATGACAAAACTAGACCCCAATTGAAGGAAACAAAAATGAAAGATTTTGGCAACTCTCTCCTTCGTCGATTGCAGATGAATCAAGGTTTCATAAATATTATTATTATGTTTTTTTTTTTGCCATCTCCATTCTCATGAAAAGGAGTAATAGCTAGAAAATTATTTGTTAAGAATTTAAACAACCAAAAATTATGTATAGAAGAAACGTCCAGTACCAAAGAAAAAACATAACAAGAAGATTTTATTAAAGGAAAAAAAATAAAAGAAAGGCTGATTAAAATATTAAGATCAGAACCTCCACCTACTTTATAACTTTAAAATTATATACATACAAAATGAAATTTTACAAACAATTAAACGAGAATTAAGAATCACCATAGAGCAGATGGCAATGAAGGCAAGAACACCATCATTAAGACAATGGTTGGCAAAAGAACACTATCATAAACCTAAATTTCTTATCGATTCCAAGACGCACACTACTGATCGGAAAATCATCCCTCTAATAAGTGCTGAAAAACTTAATATAAGTAAGAAATTGATGACAATATAGCTTTGCAAATACAATTTTCGTAAATCTGCTAATTCGTTTAACATAAACCCTAAACACTATGACCAGTAGAAAAAGAACTATAAAATTAAAAATTATTCTATACTGAAAAATATATATATAAATTATCAAGTTATCATGTTTTGTTATCATGTTTTTTCTTTGGTAAACGTTTTTTATATACAAATTCTCTTTTATTTACTGAATGTTCTCTCATCGGCTTACAGAGCCACGGATTAGTTAAATTCTTTCATTTTTGTTTTCTTTAATGAAGGGTCTAGTTTTGTCATTTCATTTTAATTATATTTAATGGTAATGAAACAAATGTATAAGTTTCTTTAAATAGAGAAAAGAAATGCTTATTAACTCATCGTCGGATTAGATCATAAGGCTATAATTAGAAGTGAGAATACTTTTTCCTACTCACCAGGGAGCAATTGAACACTACTGTATATATATATATATATATATATATATATATATATGTACGCACATATAGTGAAATTCAACAAAAAGAATTCAAACCTCTAAATGTAAATAATTAACACTGTATATGCGTAATCAAATGATGAACTGCTGACCCAAATGCCCTCGCAACCTATATAAATATACCAAATTTTGTATATAAGGTAAAATTGGTCACTTGATTTTCAATATTTCACTCTTCATCATCGAATTGAAATCAATTTAGGGTGAATCAGTTTGTAATGTTTTTTCATGACATTGGAGCCATAAATCAGTCCTGGACCAGGACTCGTGATCGACTATTTGTTCTGTTGGAACCAATATATTGAAATGGAGAATATCGCTTTCTGAAGATAATTGAAACCTCTACCATGTGCAACGGAAGCCTAATGGCAACACTATCTCCGAGATTCAACTAAACCCAGATATCAAATCTGTATGTTTATGAATGTTACACTTCTCTTCATGAATCTGTGTATTTATCTTCGTCTGATCAACTGAAAATATGAAACTCACACACTCAAATTGAATAGTTTGAAAAACACTTTTTCCAAATACTTAGGCCTTGCTTGGTTTTGTTTTCTCAAAATTGTTTTCAAGAACAGTTTTTAAAGAACGAAAATAGAGAACAGTTTTCATTTTTTTCAATTTAAAAATCTACTTGGTTAGTAAAATTACAAAACTATTTTCAGAGAACAAAAATTCAAAAAACTATTTGGTTGTCTAAAAATAGTTTTATGAATTTAGAAGAATTTTTTAAAAAAAAATTGTTATTGTGTCTCATATTTCACACCATTGAATTTTGCACAAGTTTGTATGCTATATACATACATATATTTTAAATGTTAAGTGATTATGTCATTACTATTAAAAAAGAAAGAAAAAAAAAAAAGAGTTAAATAAAATTGTAATATTAAATATAATTCTTTACAAAATATGATGGACTAAAGTTTAAACATGGAATTTCGCATCTAACCAATAATATTACAGCATTAAACCAATAGTCCACTTGTACAAATACTAATTACAAGTGTTTTTTTTTTTTCCTCACACTAAATAAAGATGTTTCTTGTAAATAAAAAATAAAATTAAAAGAAAGATGTTTCTGGACCACTGGATTGGGAATTTATTGGGAACATGACTCTAAATCTATTTGAGAGGAAGATGGAAAATTATCATAGAATCTTTTTTTATTTATATAGAAAGAGAAAGGAGTTATATGCAGAAGATGGTGGGCAAAGGCATCAGTTTGAAAGGACTCGGAATCAAGAACGTCAATCTTGTATGATCCACTCTCTTTTTTCTTTTAATTCTATGTTTTTCACTGCAATCCTTAATCATCTTGCTTTTCATACCACAAGCGCACATGCTAATATTTGTTTTTAGTTCGATCAAGCAACAAGAACAAGCATAAAGGAACCCAATTTGCGAACCGAAGAAACTTATTGAGGAGATTTGCATAACAGAAGAGAGAGAGAGGGGGAGTGGTGTACGGCTGAGAGGAAAAGGAGATAAAAGATAAGGATGGCTTATAAACGAGAGAGAGTCGATAGTGTCATTTAAGTGAGTGAGATGGTTCTCTGTGTTTTCACCAAAGTGAGAACAATTTTTCAAAAATCCACAAAAAACCTTTTTTTGGTTCTCTAAAAACCTACACTCTGTTAACTCAGTTTTGTAAATACTGTTCTTTAAAAACTGATCCAAGCAAGACAAAAAAATGGTTTTTGAATTTTTGTAACTCTCAGAACACAAAACTATTTTGAGAGTAGCAATCCAAGCAAAGCCTTATCTTTTTCTCTCTCACTTGTATTGAGAGTATGTGTGTATCTAGGCTTCGTAAAATTATTATTTATACTAATAGAAGTGGAAATGTAATTAACTTAATACTAATGAAAGTATTTAATTTTCATAAATAATATATAAATTAATATGAAAAAAACTTTATTTATAATTTATTAAAAATTCATTAAGACATCCGTTGGAGTTTTAATAAATTAATGACTAATTAATTTAAAACACGTAACTCCAACATGTTATACATGGAGATCTACATCGATCACTACAAAATGACAGTAAAAGTTTGAATAGATATATGCCATATAATAAATTGCAATGACTTAATCGAAATTCATATACTTTGAACAAAAGAATGATTCAATTACGTGCCCTTTAGTTATTTGTCATTCTTAATAGACTTGGACCCGCATAATTAAACTATTATCTCAGGTTAAGGAAAAAAAAAAAAAAAAAAGAGTCTCAATGTTGAATTAAGTGGACCAATAATCATGGGTCCATCAAGAGTCTTGCTTGATCAAAAGTCTTACCTCTCATATGAAATGAAGCAGCCCCTGTCACTTCAATTCCTAATCCATCTACTGTATATGCATCTATATATATATATATATATATATTGAAATCCCAGAAGAATTCAAACCTCTTAACTCCAACTTATACGGCATACGCATAATTAAATGCTGAATTGCTGGCCTAGAGGAAAATAATAATAATAAAAATTTTTAAAAAAATGCTTAATTGGTGACCAAATGCTCTCACAATCTATATAAATATCCCTAGTTGTGTAGACAACATGATAACCTTAGGACTACATAGATTTCTGGCTTTACAAGCAATGGCATTTCATACTAAAAGCTCTATTCTGGCGATGCTTATAATCTTTGCTGTAGTTTTATCTCCTATGTTGCCATCTATCGAAGCTCGAGTGACTCAACAAGGTAAATCCTGTTACATGTAATATATATATATATATATATATATATATACATATGACGTAAAATATTGTTTGTTAATTTCTTCTATATTATGATATTTGCAGAACTTATTGGGAAAGGACGTGTATATTGTCCTGCCTGCGTATGTTGTGAACCTCCACCACCGGGCTCGTGTTGCCGTTGTGGCTGTGCTTCTCCTGTCCAGACTCAATCTGAAACTGGTTCTCCGTGAAGCAAGCACGTACATCATATTTATCAGTTTTAAGGCACTTCAACATCAATTCAGCATAATGTTTTTTAGAAGATATATAACTAATGAAGTGTTTGGATATTTTAATTACCATAATTTTCTTTTTAGTATTTGAATAATAATGTGTGTATGTCACCATGTTGGAATAAAGAATAAAAGGTGGACTTTCTCCTCTTAACCGCACATATATATGTTCTCTTTAGAAAAATGTGCAGAAAATTTATGAACTGTGTTTAAAAATTAGGTAATTCAGTGTATAAGTCTTCTGTAATTGTAGAGGGTCAGATGTACACTTTCTTACATTTGTATACGATATTATTTTTGTATATGTGTATGTATGTATATATATATATATTCACAAAATTAATGGTTAATTAATATCAAAACAACTTTCTAATTTGTAGAAATACTTTCCAGTCAACAGTTCAATCAAAGGACAATTCAATTCTGGTATTATTTCAGTCTTCATTTTCACATGCAAAGGTCAGGGTGGTTTCTTGCCCATAAACTTAGCCCAAATTAGTCTTCCTCCTGACCAAATTGGTTAGTGTGGTTTATGATTGAGATTTGGAGGATGTCTGATTTGTGTGATGTTGAATTTGATACAATATAATATGGGATTATGGGGAGGTTGGATAACGGTCACATTTGGATTTTTGGGCTTCCTATGAATTTGGTCCACCAGCTTCTTTTGCTGGACTTAGTCTCTTATTTAACTTTTGCTGGGCTTTACATGCCCTGGCCTAAATGATTGTACTTATAAAATGCCCATTCTCTGGGCCAGTAAATTTCACACACATATATATAAATATCATTTACCTTCCATTATTCACACACACATATAAATATCATTTACCTTCAAATATTAAAATATATATATCTTAGTAAAAATTTTGGTGTCAAAAAGTAACTTTACAAATAAATAATCAGGAGAGAAATCTGAATGGACCATTTAAAAAGTAATAATTATTTATTTGTAAAGTTTAGGATATAATTGTCCTTGCATATAAGATTGTAGTGCAAACAAAGAAAAATAGAGTAGGAATAGTGCCTCCCTAAAATTAAATATATAATTTGAAAAGTTGAATGTTCAAACTGTGATATCACTTTTTGTGGATCACTTTAAAAAGTGATGTTGATAAAACCCCTCCTCTATTAATGACAAAAACCAACCCATTAAAAAATTGAAATTTGTCTGAGCCCGGGTTCAAACTGGGGACCTCTAGCGTGTGAGACTAACGTGATAACCGACTACACCACCCAGACCTTGGTGAGCACATGCTTTGAAGAATAAACCAGAATCATTAAATATATCTAATTTCAGACATTACTTATATTGATTTATGCCTTCTTGTTTTTAATCCTACAAGGCCTCTTTCCATTTCCACAAATTTTCAAACGCACTCTGGCGTCAAACATGAGGTATGATCAGTCGATCTAATGCCTTGCCTTGACGGGTCAAGAGCAATGTCTATGAAAGCGTGTTGGTGCACTACTCCGTCTTTTGGATTGTAATTTTGCCACTACTTCCCATTTGTCACCAAACACCAGAATTTTGAGTAAAAATAAATCTTAATTAACAACAAAACTAAATTCAAGCACAAAAATAACAGGTTACACACAAAAATAAAAAAAAATAGAAAACCCTCTTTTTTTACAATTATTTTTTTTTATATATTATTTCACTTCAAACCCTAACAATTAAAGCATTGTTCATACATTTTTTTGGCTCGAATTTGAGCAGCCCACTCATGGAGGCTCCTCCATGTGCAGAAATTTTTTGTCAACATGTCGGCTTCATTCACCATTTAAATCAATGCTTATAGTTGCATTAATTCAACTATTCCTCCTACAAGAGAAGAAAAACCATCCACACAAATAGTGAGTCAATTAGATGAAGATTAAAATAATGCCCTTTATTGTTTGTGAAAATTTAATTGACCCGTCACTGTTGCAACTTGTAAAACTCGTTCTAGTTTGAGTGTGAACTGTTTGACAAAAAAAATATAAAAAGTCCAAATGTCGAATAAATTGGGTTTATCAAGCCCAGGGATATCAACCATTACTTGGTCCTGTTCATAAATTCGGGCTTTGTAAAAAAACATTTAAGACAAAATGATAATCATGAAGCTCAAAATTCTTACATCTGGCCCTATCAGAAGAAAATTTCAAACCTGTAAATTCAAATCAGACGGCATACATGCGTAATAAAAAGCTGAATTGTTGACCCAAATGCTCCCACAGCCTATATAAATATCCCAACTTATACATGTACGTGTAGATAAAATTATAACCTTAGGCGTACTACATCGATTGCTAGGTTTAACAAGCAATGGCATTTGATAATAAAAGGTCTATTCTGGCGGTGTTTATCTTATTTGCAGTAGTTTTATCTCCTACATTAACATGTAATGCAGCTCGATTCACTCAACGAGGTAAATTCCATCACCACCCATGTTGCTGACATTCATGAACTCCATAATATGCATATAATATACATATGATATGTATATATACAAATTCTCGAAAGGTTATATGATATATATATATATATATATATATATATATAATAGTGCATGTTTCTTAATTTCTTCTGATGGTATATGCAGAACTTCTGACCGGACCTATATGTCCTGCCTGTGTCTGTTGTTCACCTCCACCTCCGAACTCATGTTGCCCTTGCTGTTCTACTCCTGTCCCGACATCTGGAACTGTTACTCCATGAAGCACGTCATACCTATCACTTATGATCAGTTTAAGGCACTGGCACTTCAACGTCAATTCAGTACCATATATATATATATATATATATAATTAATGTATTAAAAACATAAATAATGAAGTGTCTATGGATATTTATTACTATAATATTTTTCTTTTGACATAGTATTTCAATAATGTATGTTACTATGTTGGAATAAAGATGGACTTTCTCCTCTCAACTTCTACATGTGTTCTCTCTTTGGTAAAATGTTATGATAAATGATGCATTAATGCATATATATATGTGTGTGTCAACGTGTGTGTATATATATATACATATATATTCACAAAACCAATGGTAAATTAATATCAAAACAACCAAAAGGACAATTAATTCAATTCAATTAAGGAATTTAAATTTGTGCATAACAGACATTTCATAAAAGAAGTAAGCAAAAAAATTTGAAATTTCTGATGTTCAGACGATGACACGGAGGTTTAGCCATCAATAATGCTCAAGTGAAATCATCAATAAAACTTTTCACTCTGCTACGTTGTTACGAGTACAAATTTAATTAAGGCATTAGCCCTTCAAATTAATTCTGATTTTAATGTAAAGTGACACTTCATGAATATATATATATATATATATATATGTTAATCATGATGTGATCATACAGCAATCACAGCGCATATAGATACATAACTGTTGATATGATTACAGTGAATTGAGATGTCCAAAGTCCAAACAGTGTTGATTTTAAAATTGTGATTATCAGCTTAATTTTTTTAACCTTTTTATCACACATATATCACCACCATGTTTAATTGGGACTCATCTACAAAACATGCGGTACTGAACATGATCACCACCTGACAATTTCTTACAATATTACACAAAAATATATATATATATTCTTAAATTTTGTTAGTACGTAGTTAGAGAAAAGGGTTAGTAAACTACTGGAAACAACGAAAGCACAACTAACCTTATAAGGGCATTTACTAGAAAGCATATTCAAATCATCATTAATTTTTTTCTAAGAAGGAAAAAATGTATTCAGTCAATTAAGCTGAAATCTTACTTTGAAAATGGTGGCATTTTGATTAAAAACCCAAAACAGACCAATTCAACCAGTGGACTTAATTACCGACAAAATAAAATAAAAAACAGTGCACTTCAAACTTTTGATTCAAACAATGAGGCTAATGAATTTATTTTTTATGCTAAGCCTAAAGCTCTCATATCTACATAAACAATGCCTTGCTCTATACGCACATTGTGACCGTACAGGCAAATTAATCTGTTAACACATTTCTATACAATAAATTATGGAGTGCTACTCTCAGAAGTCTATGTTGGCGTCCCTTTTAATTTTTGCAATTATTTTATCTCCTGTTTTACCGTGCAAATGCAGTTAGAGTGACTCATCGAGATAAAACACATTTCTCTGTTTTTACAAAACATTATTTAGAGAACATTTTTTAAGTATTCTAAATTCAAGTCTTTTTTTAATTATTATTTATTTATTTACCCCGACAATGGTTAGACCATCTCTAATGCAAAATGCTATTTTTGCATGCCAAATCTATATTTTGAGAGGAGCTACAGTGTCAAAATGTTATATTTTAGTAATTTTGCTCCAATGGTGCATTTAATCCAAAATGCAATTTTTTAATATAACAACTATTATTTTTCAACTACCACTCCCAACTACAATTTTCAACAACATTTTTTTTTTTTTTTTGGTGAGTGTTTGTATTTTATTTAGCTTATTTGCCTTATTAAAAATAAATAAATAAAAACACTAACATATATATATACACACACACACACACAATAGACATATACATATGACACACAACATATACAAGCACGACTGACATATATATATATATATACATATAATAGACATATATATATATATATACACACACAATAGATATATACATATATACACTGACATATATATATATATATACAAGCACAACTGATGTATATATATATATATACACAAGCACAACACCAAATTGGCAGCCCATGCGAGAGAGAAGAGAGAAGAAAGAGAGCAATATCAGATTTGGCAATAGTTATATGTTATGTTATATTTGACATAACATTTGATAAAGTTATATTTTGATAGCCTATTTGACATGCTATTAGAGAGCCCATTTTAAACCCATATGCTATATTTTGAAAATAGCAACCCAAATACAGCCCATTGGAGTTGCTCTTAGTAGTTAGTTTGGGAGATGAAGGAATCAAATCTAAATCGATTGGAAGCACTTTTGACCGACCTGGCCCTTTTATCACTCGGACAACACCACTACACCTCAAATTCAAGTGTTTTAAATTTCTGCTTTCATAGAATAGTTTCAGATCAATTTATAAAAAAAAAAATTTTGAACTAATTTTGCATTTTTTGTTAATTATTTGATTTTTTTTTTTTCCCCAATCATGCAGAGCTTGCTGAACTACTGAAAGATCCAATTATGTGTCCCCCAGTGTGTGTGTTGCGGCCCAGCGCCACCAGGCTCATGTTTCCCATGTGGGCCATGCTGAAAATGGGACCTCATGAGGAGTTGATTTGTGAAACTATTGCGTGTATGTGTGAATGTATGCAAACCCATGTGTCATTTCAGGTCTAACAGAATCTTTTCAATAAAGGGCGGTTGACATCAAAGTGTGTATGATTAAGTTACCATATGTGCAAGGTGTCCTTCCACATATATTTATTTTAATAATAATAAAATAAAAAATATACATATATATTTCAACTTTTAATTATTGTTCTTACCGAATCAAAATATGTTTCCACTTGGTTCCATTTCTATTTTGAGCTAAAAATGATACCTCGTAAGGTGGGACAATTCGCACTACCTTTGTAATTGGATCACCGTGCTTACTTAGCCTGGACTCGGGCACCTAGATACCTAGGCAAGCGCTTGATTATAAGTCCAAATCAATGGATCGAGCACTTGCCTTCTAACCCAAAAACTTAAGTTGTTGGGTACGTATTTTTTCATATTCACCCACATGTACTTAATACTCTTTTCATCTGAATCCCATGTAGAACAAAAACACTAGATATCTACATCACTACTGTACTAAAAACTTTAAATGATTCTATGGCATAATATATACCGAAAAGACAAATTAATCTCAATTAATATACTTTGAACAAAATAACAAATCCAATGGAACACAAGCCATGCACACAAATAATGATTCAATTACATGAAGATTAGACGTGTAAGTTTTTTTTTTTTAAGTTGGTACTCACAATAGTACACGTGCCTCCATTAAGGTTCGAAATTCTAATCTTCCTTTGAGAAATAAGAATCTGATACTGTTAGGCCTGATCTATTGATAAAATTTGTGTAAGTTTAATAATCTTGATGGAATTGGACCCGCATAAGTAGTCTTAATTTGTTAAACAACATTGGTCAAGTCAAGTGTGAACTATTTGAAGAAAACAAAAAAGAGTCTAAATGTTGAATTAATAAGTGAACCAACATTAATGAGTTCGTCAAAAGTCTTGCCTCTCGTACACGAAATGAATCTAGCCCTTCCCAGAAATTTCACAAGAAGAATTCAAACCTCTAAATCAAAATTACACGGCATATGCATATATAATCCATCAAATGCTACACAATTGCCCTCACAACCTATATAAATATCCCACGTTGTGTAGACAGCGTTATATTAACCTTAGGACTAGAACATTAATTAATTGCTAAGTTAACAAGCAATTAATGGCAATATTTGATACTAAAAGGTCTATTCTGGTGATGTTCATCATCTTTGCAGTAGTTTTATCTGCTATGTTAACATGTAATGCAGCTCGAGTGACTCAACGAGGTAAATTTCTGTCACCACCTTACATGTTGCTGACAATATTCATGAACTCATTGATACATACATACAAACATGAAACATATAATATACATATATATGATATACATGTATAAAATAAAATTGTATCTTAATTTCTTCTCATGATATATATATATATGTGCAGAACTTTTTGGGAATGGACGTGTATATTGTCCTACCTGTGTATGCTGTGAACCTCCACCACCAAATGCTTGTTGCCGTTGTGGATGCTAGCTCTTCTCCTTTCCAGTTTACGGCACTTCGATCGATAACAACAATTCAGCAGAATGTTTTTAAAAGACAAATAATGTTAGTGTCGACAATGGATATTTCTTACCATATATTTTTCCTTTCGGTATTTGAACCATGTTTGTGTGTGTGACGTGTGTCACTATGTTGGAAATTTGAAATAAAGATGGGGTTTCTCCTCTCCACCTCTACATCAGTGAAACATATATGAAGAAAAAATTTGAACCTAGACATATATATATATATATATATAAATTATTACATATAAATGGTGGTAATGATTCATATTTATTATTTAATAGAGTGAAAGTCTCGTAATTTGGAAAAAAAATAAAATTGACTAAAATACTAGTGTGGACATGAAAAAATACTGTTTATTCTCAATGAGGTATCACTTTTAAGCACATATGTATCATTTTTTGTGTACGGAGGTACCACTTTTTGTGCATCAAGTACCACTTTTGTTTTGGGTATAGAGGTACCACTTTTTATGTATCAGGTATCATTTTTTTGTGCAAAATAAAAAAGTGATACCTAATGACAAAAAATAATACATGCATGCACAAACAGTGGTACTTATGTGCCTAAAAATGGTACCTCAGTGAGGGTAAATAGTATTTTTTCATGTCTTAATTTTTTCGAAATTATGAAACTTTAACTCCATTAAATGGTAAATATTGATGATTAACACCATATATATATATATATATATATATATATATATATATATATATATATATATTTGTGTTTAAAAGATGGTTAATCGAGTACACAAGACTTGTTGTCATTGCATTTTGAATTTTTGGGCTTTCTTATGGATTTGGTCAATGGTCCACCAGTTTCTTTTTCTGGACTTAGTCTCTTAACTTATGTTGGGCTTTACATTCCATAGCCAAAAGGCTTGGACTTATAAAACCAACTACTCTCTTAACTTTTGTTGGGCATTACATGGCCATAGCCTAAAGGCCCATTCTTTGGGCCTGTAAATTTCACTTGTATAAATATCATTTACCTTCAGATATAAATATTTAAAAAAAAAAAAAAAAAAAAAAAAAAAAAAACCTATTCATATTCTCTAATTGTTTTATTTATATTAAAGCTCCATTTGTTTGGATGTAAAAAAATTTCAAAAAATATTTTTTTATATTTTGGTGTTTGATTATCATAAAATATATACGAAGAAAAAATATTAAAATTTAAAACAAATAATTTAGCCATCAATTTTTGACAAATTATTTTACATGCACTCTGCTTAAAAACTCGACCTAAACATTTGTCAAACGGTGATAAAGTGTATATATATATCAAAACAAACAAGGAGGCTAAGTAAAATAGTTTTGCCCTTTAAAAAAAAAAAAAAAAAAAAAAAAAAAAAAAAAAAAAAAAACCTATTCATATTCTCTAATTGTTTTATTTATATTAAAGCTCCATTTGTTTGGAGGTAAAAAAATTTCAAAAAATATTTTTTTATATTTTGGTGTTTGATTATCGTAAAATATTTACGAAGAAAAAATATTAAAATTTAAAACAAATAATTTAGCCATCAATTTTCGACAAATTATTTTACATGCACTCTGCTTAAGGACTCGACCTAAACATTTGCCAAACAGTGATAAATATATATATATATATATATATATATATATATATATATCAAAACAAACAAGGAGGCTAAGTAAAATAGTTTTGCCCTTAATAACAGTATTAATTAGGTGAGAGTCAATTGCCCTTTTCCATTTTATAGTTATTTTGTTTTCCACGCAAGCTGAATAACCTATTGGATAAGTCAATGCTTAAATTAAGCATCTTCTGGTGATTAGTATGCACATGGAAAATGTTGTAATTCTTCCTTTACTTTTTTCTTTTATTTTTGGAGTTTATGGATCGGACACCAATGGACATAAATCGAGACGGTTTGAATGTTAAACTTATTAGAAGCAATATTGTGAATGATTGTGCATTTACTTGAATTTAGATCATGTGATCCCACTAATAACTAATTGTCACTTGTTCAAATATATGAACCCCTTGAAAGAGTTTTGAGTCATAAAATCCAATCCCAAGGTACTCAATCTCCAAACCTAGCCTTAATTTAAAGTTTTAACATGGTCCAACAGAAGGTGAGACACATCTTTAATACATAACAAGACTTTCACAACAGAAAAAGTAATTCCTTTTGGCTTTCTTATATGGGAATTTAAGTTGAGTAGAAAAAATGCCATTATTAAAGGAAACACAGTTGCAAGCATTAAAAGAAAGGTTGAAAAAATCCAAAGGGTTACTTTATCTTTAGTGAATAAAATAAATTTGTCTGAGCCCGGGTTCGAACCGGGGACCTCTAGTGTGTGAGACTAGCGTGATAACCAACTACACCACCCAGACTGTTTCAGGGTTGATGGCTGTAATTGGCTACTTGATCTATATTATGTGTCTTTGTGCATTTTCTTTTGGAGCTTAAAACAAAAACAAAAAGATAATTTCAGACATTTTACATTTATGTTTTTCCTCCTACAGTGCCTTTTGCATTTTAACGAATTTATCGTCCCATGGAGAGAAGACGTTATACATTGTCAATAAAAATATATTATTTTTTAAAATTAATCCTATCTTTTTTAAAAAATTGATCTTAACTCTCAATTATGTGTTTTATTAATTTTCATTGGCCAAACACACAACAAGTATGCCCATCTTGGGGGATTGTAATTTTGTGTGAATTTTTCATTTGTCACTAAACGACATAATTTCGTTTAATTTTCTTTTAAGAATTTACAAATCATATTGTTAGGATAAACAAGGTAGAGATTACAAGTTTCAGCGTTCAACCCCTATCTTTCACACTTCCTTTCTTACAATTTTCTTACATTTTTCCACTTCAAACCCTAACCGCCCTTGGACAATATCCACGACCCTCAAACAAAATCGGGTCAAAAAATCCATCGCTTGGGGTCATGTTAAACAAAATTCGGACAACATAACACTGTATGATATTTGGTTTTTTTGCATCTTCTCTCTCTAATCTTATAGAACATTGATCACCAAGTTCACTATCTAAATAGGGTTTTTATTTCATTTGCTCAATTGTATTTTTAAGAACATGAAGTGGCTTCCTGAATGAATAACATGAATACGGCCATGTCTTATCACTTATGTAAGTCGAATCTGTCATTTTCACTCTTCACCATCGAAAATCAATTTATAGCGAATCAGAACTATACAAATTTGGACATCCCAAGAACATAGAATCAGTTTGTGATGTTGTTCCATGACATTGGAGCCATAAATCAATCCTGATCTACAACTCATCAGTAGTTGTATATGACAGTAGAACTTTTTTTTTTTTTTTTTTTGAAGGGTACTATGCAATAAAACAAAATGCAACTACATAATATGATTTTTCCATACATGTTTGTGGCTCAAATTTGAGCAACCCACTCATGGAGTATGCTCCATGTGCTGAATTTTTTTGTCAACATGTCGGCTTCATTCACCGTTTAAATCAACGATTATAGCTGCATTAACGCAATTATTCATACAAGAGAAGAAAAACCATGCACGCAAGTAATGATTCAATTAGATATATGAAGATTAAAATAAAATGCCCTTTATTATTAGTGAAAACAAATTGTTTAAATTCAATCTTGATAAACTTAATTGGATATTATTTCGAGTTAAACACCATTGCGTACTCTTATATACCCAATTAGACATTTATTGACCAGTCGCTGTTGCAACTTGTAAGGCACTAGTTGAAGTGTGAACTGTTTGAAAAAAAAAAAAAAAAGTCCAAATGTTGAATTAATTGAACCAATAAAGGATGGTTTTTTCAAGATTCTGGTTTGATCAAAAATATATCTTACCTCTCACATCATGAAATGAAGCCCTACTGTCTCACTTCCCACACCATCAAAGTGGATATGTATCAATATAGTTATATAGATATTCAAATCAGACGGCATAGGGGTAATCAAAAGCTGAATTGCTGACCCAATTGCTCTCACAACCTGTATAAATATCCCCATTTGTGAATTGTGTAGATAAAATTATAACCTTAAGACTGCATAGATTGATATATTAACAAGCAATGGCATTTGATAATAAAAGGTCTATTCTGGTGATGCTTATCATATTTGCCGCAGTTTTATCTCCGACATTAACATGTAATGCAGCTCGATTGACTCAACGAGGTAAATTCCATCACCACCTTACATGTTAATGACATTCATTAACTCCATCGTTGATTGTTGATACATACATGTTATATATAAAATATTGTTTCAAACTTAATTGGTTTCTTCTCATGATATATGCAGAACTACTTGCCTGTTCTGTCTGTGAATGCTGTGAACCTCCACCACACGGCTCATGTTGCCGATGCTGTTCTTCTCCTGTCCAGACATCTGAAACTGGTTCTCCATGAAGCAACATATATAGCTATCAGTTCAAGGCACTTAATTCTACATAAATTCAGCATATATAAATAACAAAGTGTCTATGGATATTTGCTACCGTATTTTTCTTTTTGACATAGTATTTAAACAACGTGTGTTACTATGTTGGAATAAAGATGGACTTTCTCCTCTCAACTTGTACATGTGTAACTGTGTTCTCTCTATAGTAAAATATGAGCAAAAATTATGTATTAAAGCATATTGTGTGTTAATGTATATATACACACATATATATTCACAAAATTAATGGTTAATTGATATCAAAACAACTTTCTAATTTTTTAAAAATAATATCCATTCAACAGTTCAACCATAAGGACAATTCAATTCTTGTTTTATTTCATTCTTCATGTTCACAGTGTAACTCTCTTGACAAGAAATGAAGCAAAATTAAACTCTGCCAAACAACTAATTAAGCAGTAGCAAGTTGCAGCTAAACTTGGAAAAGAATGGTTTAAAATGGACTTGATCCTGAATTTAAAAATGTGCATAACAGCCATTTCATAAAAGAAGTAAAAGCAAAAATATTGACATTTCTGGTGTTCAGATGATGACAATGTGTGATACGAGCTTTAGCGATTGCTAATGCTCAAGTGCAATTAATTATGTTAGCTAGAACTTACACAAAGACTTTTTTACTCACTCTGCTACGTTGTTGTTATGAGTACAGATTAAGGCATTAGCCCTTTAAGTTCTGATTTTACTATAAAGTGACACCTAATGAATGGTTGAATAAAATATCACGAATATACTCACCATGATTTGATACAGCAATCACAGCGCGTACATAACTGTTGCTGTGGTTACGATGATCACAGCTCTGAATATATATAAGATGTTCCACAGGTTTGATCAGAAAAAACCTTCCATTATGGTAAGGCATTTTGAGCACTGCCAAAAGACTATTTAACAGCATTAGGATAGTAAATGGTGTTGACGTTTTACAGCATGTTAAATTGTGAAGGAGTTCATTTTTATCACGACTTGCAACCAACCTTGTAAAAGACATCAAAAAACAAGGCTTCACAATTTCGTCATCAATTTCATTATAGCTTTTATTGTTTCATTTATATCCATCTGAGCATCGAATTTTCTGTTTGGTAATTTTAAATTTGTGATTATCAGCTTAAACTTGTCATCACACAGGAGCCTGCATCACACGATATCACCATGTTTGGGACTCATCTAAATATCTAATATGGCATGATCTGAATGTGCTACAAAACATGCGGTGGTTCTTAATTTTTTTACTAGTTAGAAGGAAAGGGTTAGTAAACTACAGGAAACAACTAAAGCACAACTAACTTTATAAGGGCATTTACTAGAAAGCCTATTCAAACCATCTTTAATTTTTTTTTTAAGAACGCAAAAATCGTACTTTGACAATGGTGGCATTTTGATTAAAAAACCAATCCAGACTAATTCAACCAGTGGACTTAATTAGTAATTACCAAAAAAGATAAAGAAACAAAAATCAGTGGACTTCAAACTTTTGATTTAAACAATGAGGCTAATGCATTTTTCTAACGAGATGCTAAGCCTAAAGCTCTCATATCTATATAAACAGTGCCTCGCCTCTTTACGCACATTGTGATACTATTTACACATTTCTATACAAGAAATTATGGAGTGTTACTCTCGGAGGTCTATGTGGGTGACCCTTTTGATTTTTGCTATTGTTTTATCTCCTGCCTTACCATGCAATGCAGCTAGAGTGACTCATCGAGGTAAAACACATTTCTGTGTCTTTTACAAAACATTATTCAGAGAACATTCTTTGAATTATATTTTATAAGTATATATACTTTCAAAGCATTCCAAATTTAAGTCTTTCAAAATTCTGCTTTCATATAATAGTTTCAGATCACTTAATCAAACATAACTTTTGAACGATTTTTCCGTTTTTTTGTTTCTATATATATATATATTTCCCTAATCATGCAGATCTTGCTGAACTAGTGAAAGATCCAATTATGTGCCCCCAGTGTATGTGTTGCAGCCCAGCACCACCAGGCTCATATTGCCGTTGTGGCCCATGCTGAAAATGGGACCTCATGAGGTGTTGATTTGTGAAAATGTATGCATGCCCATGTGTGTTTCATTTCAAGTGTTTCAGGCCTAAGTAACAGATGTGCTTCAATAAATGGGTTGATAACTTAATATCAATGTGTTTATGATTTACTATTTGTTACTTAGGGAGGGAATAAAAAGGTTACTATTTGTTACAATCAGACTGAACCTCTAACCTCACATTCAAAGGGAGGTTCATAAATAACCTCTTCAACAAGAGAACACATGAGCAGCCAAGAAAATATATATATAGTCTAAAATTTGGTGTATTAGTTGAATTGTAAATCATGTTTATTTTATTGTTTGACAAACAGGACTTTTGTAGCTTGGGAACCAGGAGGATGATTGTTTTGCCTTAAAGTGACCATCGCGTTAGTTTGAATCCCTAAGACAGTTCAAGGATATATTCAATAAGAAACACTCTAAAAGCTACTTCCTGGATTTGAAATTTGTGATTTTGGTACTCTGTGGATGTTGAGTTGATACATCAACTGTGCCTTGGATAACCAATGCATCACACAGTTGATGTATAACCTCATCTAATGATCCATAATGATGCCTTGGATGATGAATGAATTGAAAAGAAGTTGAGAGTCTGTGTCCATCAGCTTCTTTTCAATTCATTGATTATCCAAGGCATCAACCTCATTAGATGATGAGGTTATACATACTCAGTTTAGCCATTACCAAAGGGGAAAAGACATGACACAAATGCCACAAAAAAAAAAAAAGAAAAAAAAAAAAGGAAAAAAAAAAAAAGGGCCAGTCAGACCTACAAAAGGCATCCCCGTGTGAGATCAAATATTAGGTAACCTCACTGCTCTACCACACTGCCTATGTTGATTCATCACTGAGAACAGGAACCCAATTTATTGTAAACAACCTCCAAAATAATACCAGATACCAGCAAATGGAAGTCAAAGACATGACAGGGAAGCATATGATAATAGAGGAAGAGAATGGCTAAATTCAAATCAAGAAAAAGATATATGAAAATTCCAAACTTCAGATTTTCATCTCAAGTCTCAATGTAGTAACAAACACTGTACTTACTGTCTAAACAAAAGAAAACACCATCATCAGATAAAGACCTAAGAAGATCTATTTAGGACATCATAATACTGAACTAGTTTCCTATCAGTTAGAGTTTTACAGTATGAATTAATCAACTGCACAGCATAAGCTGAAGAAAACCATATAGCAACAGCATTGTAACTTCAGCAATGGAATAAGAGTGTATTGGAGTTGTGACGCCACATATCATTTCTTCTTCTGGTAATGGGCAGAATTGACTTTCAACCAAGCACCTTTTGCACCGCACTGAGATAATAATAAATATGTTAGATCATTTGCTAACAAGTTAATATAAAGTATGCTTATGGTAACTGGAGATAAATTCATTTTCCCGCAGAATTAAAACAAATGAGAAAGAAGAAACTGAAAAACTAAACACAAAAGAACATACATCTTTGTAAGAACAGTTCATTGAAGTTCCCTCCTGCGATTGCCTCGCCCTAGCCTGCAATTGCATTTCCAAAGCCTTAAGAACTAAATATCAGAAACGTGTAAAATTGTAGTAAGAAATAAAGTTCACAATAAAAAAAACCATAAGATTTTCTTACAAATGTCAAAAAATTTCCACTGTAGCTCTTTTCTGCAGAAGGATACACTGTTGGGCAGCTTGAATTTGTGTGTGACACAGCTTTTTTTGGATGATAAACAGGAAAATTGCAATGGGGTGCACGGAGTTGAGGCACAAGCATATTAGAGTAGTATGAATAAAAAGACTTCATTGCCTGCTGTGCATAGTAAGCCTGCAAAATCATACGCCGTTCTTCTTTACCCTGAGCTATAGCCACATACAGATACTTTCCTAGTAAAATGGTTCCTGTGGAACCCAAACACAGATCAGCCACCTAAAAATTTGACTACCATAGTTACATACAGAATACAGGAAAAAGAGAAAGAGAGGATTTAGCTTATACCTTGAAGAGCATTCAAAGCTTTCTTTGCTTCTTCAGGAGTGGAGAAGCATACAAAGCCAAATCCTTTACTAAATCCATTATCATAACGCATCACTTTTGCTGAAGTTATTTCTCCGTAAGCACTGAAATGGTCTTGCAGTTTTTTGTCATCAATTGATGCATCTAGATTCTTCACATACAGATTTGAAGCCTTTGATTTCTCAGTATGATGATCCTTCTGAGCCTTTCCTACAGACAGCTTCTTTAATCCTGATCCAAAAAATAATTGAAAGCATTTTAAAAAGCTAATCTGCATATAAAATTAAGGTTGAAATAAAAGGAAATCGAAATTAATGAGTTAATGTTTACCTAGTAGTGTTCCATTCAAGGCCTCCATGGCCTTCTTAGCCTCTTCATGTGAATTAAAGATGACAAATCCACAGCCTCTTGATTTCCCTTCAGCATCCCTAACAATGACAACTTCAGAAACCTTCCCAAATTCAGAAAATTTATCTTGAAGGAGATTTTCAGTCACATCTTCACCCAGATTTTTCACGTACAGATTTGTAAATTTTGATTCTTCTTGGGCATCCTTCCTCTCACTCTTCTTAACAAATTTGGACACATGCCTATAGGGAAGCCAAAGAACTACATTATTCAAAATTTAGAAGCCCATTACAGAACCTAAAAATAATGGTAATGGCATTAAATCACATTTATAATATAACTTGACAACCACAGTATGCCCTCAAAATCATTGTACAGCTCCACGGGGTTACAAAAACATATTTTAAAACAAATCCCTTCATGGCTGAGTTTGATTCCTCAAAATATTCTCCTATTCTTTCTAGTGTAATACCACAATATGGTTGATATAAAAAGCATAACAAGGGGAGAAATGTTGAGATATAATGAGAATATAACATGTTGAATTCAGTCCAAAAATCACATCCGTGCCCAAAATTCGTGTCCGTGTCCGTGTCCGTGTCCGTGTCCACGTCCACGTCCAACATCATAACGATGGATACAATCAAATTGTTCATCTTAGGAACTAACTATGAGACTACTAATTATGAATGCAATCAAATTGTCCATTCTTAAGCTAGCCCATTCTCATGCATTCAAAGATGTGTTTTGATCAGAAAGGAATGAAGAATCATTTAACTGGAGCACCAAATGAAGGCCATTTGCAAGCTGAGCATCCATTGAAGGAACTAAATGGAAACAGAAGGGATCCAATACACTTAAAAAAAGGATTATAATTGAACTAAAGTAACTAAAAATAACCACAAGCATAATTTACAACTTCTTCCCATCAAATAACTAAGACTAACACAAACAGTACAGGGACTAGTACAGAAACAAAGAGACAAATGTAACGGAGGACTTACAACTTCTTCCCATCAAGTATGGTACCATTGAGAGACAAAGCAGCCATGGAAGAATCCTCGGGATCGAACTGAACATACCCAAAACCCTTACACTTCCCATTTTCCTCAGCCACCTTGCAAGACAGTATTGTTCCAAACTTGCAGAAAATATCATGCAATTTCGCACTGGTGACCGAAGGGTCAAGGTTCTTGATGAAGAGATTGGCCATACCAGACTTTCTTGTAAGAGAGTCTCTCTGACACCACATTATCCTCATGGGTTTTCCCTTAATTTCAGTGTGGTTTAGACAATCCAGAGCCTTTGCAGCTAACAACGCAGAGGACCAACAAGCAAAGAAACAATTCAAAAGAAAACAGTAAAAAGAAAAAAGAATTAAACAGATCAAAGAGATAACGGATCATAATTAAGAACAAAAATTAGCGGATCAGAATCAAGATAAGGAAATTTGGTTTCAAAAAATCAAATAAATCAAAAATCTAATAGTTACCATGGATTTGAAAGGCAATGGGTGCTCAAGAAAACTGAACAAAAGTAATTTATTTAATAACAAAGATACCAAGTCACCATTAACGAGAGAGAGAGAGAGAGAGAGAGATATTCTCAGAAAACAGGAGAAATTAACAAAACACAATTTCGTAAACAGAAAAAAAAAAAAGTACAGGAAAACATCAGAATTTGAATGCAATTAAAGAAGAGAAAACACAGAAAAGAAACCCATATCAAAATGATGAAGTAACCAAAGAATTAAAAATGCAATTAAAGCGCAAAAAACATAGAAAATAAACCCATATCAAAATAACGAAGTAACCAGATCACCCATGAATCAAAGTGGAGTAAGTTAAAGGCAACAAAACAAAGGTCCAAGAATGCAGAGAGACGCATCTAAAAACGCACACACACACACAGAGATATATATATATATATATATATATAGAGAGAGAGAGACAGAGAGAGAGAGAGAGAGAGAAATTTGATTACCATCAAAGGGAGAGAAGAAGTTGACATAAGCGTAGCGAAGAGATTTGTGGGAGACTCTGTCTCTGCAGAGGCGAACAGAGGCCAATTGACCAATCTTGGAAAATGCTTCTGCTAAGTCTTTCTCAGTCGCTTCTGGATCCAGATCACCCACGTACAGTGAAGCCTTACTCAGAGTTTCAAGCACTGGCATTAATGGTGGATTAGCCGCCATCTTCTTTCTTCAAACCCCGAAAACTTAGAGAGAGGGAGAGAGAGAGAGATGACGGAAAGAGGTCTAGAGAGAGAGAGAGAGAGGAAGAGAGCTGACGATTTGCGAGCGCAGGGATACTAGTTACTACAACCGTCATGATTATATTTATATTTATATTTATAGAGAGAGAGAGAGAGAGAGAGAGAGAGAGAGAGTTAGTTAGTTTTAGAGAGAGAGAGAGAGAGTTAGTTTTAACAGTCACGCTTGGGAATGTGTCCGTGTCTAACGACCTTACGGATCACACCCATCTCTCGAATAGAAATCTTAAAAAAATAATAATAATAAAATAAAATAAAATAGAAATATTGAATGCATAGGAGAATTTAAAATTAGTGAAATTTTAGTTCAAACCGTACATTGATTTTCCTCCATTTTGTTAAAAAAAATTTAAGTGAAAATGAACATTATTTCAGATTATCTAAAGAAAATATTAAGTGTTTCAAGTCCTACTAGTGAGTAGGAGTAGGGTAATATTGTGAGTATGTATTTACTTTTAAAAAAACAAATGTCTACCAGATATGAGGGAATGTTATATGAAATTGTCTTGAATGGTTTATCAAATTAATGCGTCTATGGCTGTGACTAATCTAATAAACTAGAAGGGTAATTTAAAAAGATAAAAAATAATAATAAATAGAAAATCCCTACCTTGTTAAATATGGTGTTACAAGTGAATTAAATTATAATGATCGTCTACCATGTCTCCCTCTTTTTCTCTCTTCATAATCATTCTCAAGTGAGTCCATTGTGACAGGATATAATTAAGTTTACTACCCTTTATCAATTAGATAAAGTGTGCACTAATATCCATATTTAAGACTCAGCTCATTCAGGGAATGAAAAGTTTCCTGATGAATGAGCAATGTTGTCCAACTTTATAGTAATTTCAACCAATCCTAAACCAATTTCACGCTACAAACACCATTACAGAAGTGAAGTGAAAACCTGTTAGCGGAATTTTTTTTTTTTTTTTTACATAAATTAAAGATTTACCAAAATTCAGGACGATTTTTGGACCAATCCCAAACTCGAAAACAAATGACAGCATGAAATAAGAAATGGAAACCTCTGAACCAAAGAAAGGGGAAAAGCTTACACAACGGTTCTTTCTTTCGGGAGTAACAAGAACTGTTCCAACCAGACGCCCTTTGGTAGCACAAAAGTTATTGTCAGGCACAATTTTACCAAAATTCGAGAAAAATTTCGGCCATTTCTAACCAATTTTATGCTCAAAAAGCAAATATTAGTCCAACCATATAGGGAAAAAGGTTTCTTAGACGAGCCAAAATGTTCCAAAGAAAAGAAAGCGAGCAGTGTCTTATTACATTCAATTGTAGACTGTAGGGCCAACACCAGAAAGAAGCAAAATAATTTCTTTGTGAACTTACAGAAGAGGGAACAATACAACGGAACTTTTTGTTTGATGCATCCAACAACAATGTGGGATGGATGAACAATCAATCATTGACTGAAACTACTTTTCATTTTGCAAAATTAGTTTCAAAATGATTTCTAATGATGAAAAAGGAAAATGGGGCATTCACTACCATACCCTTGACAAACTAAAAAGGTATGCATATATTGAGTTTGAAACACATACTTCACTATTGACATAAATTTCAGAAGATATAAAAATGTCAGAAGGAACCAAATGATGCTGATCCGCCGTGAAATCTTGAACTATGGGAGGCCTTCAAAGCTTCTGCATATTTCAACAATTCAGCTCTCTGAATGCTTTCTGATTCTTGATGAAGTTGGTTTACTCGGCGTGAACCAGTAGCAGCTTCCTTGGCCGAAGCAAATCTTTTATAAACACCTGAAGATCCCATGTCACTGCTTTTTCGAAAGCTTTCCAAATCCTTGGTATGCTCTACTTTTGCATTCCTATATCTATGCAGATACGAAGAATGTCTAGATAAAACGTGAGATGTAGTTCTCAATCTATTATCATTTCCATCCATTCTGGCATCCATCCCTACTGAAACACTTGAATTGCACCGCGGAAAATTACAATATGCTCCCACCACGTCCCCCACAGGTGAATTTCTATCTAGGGATGAACTTTGACTATGAGGATGACTTTCATGTCCTCGTAAAAGTCTCCTAAGCTTGGTGAAAAGTTTTGTTTTGCTGGAATTGCTGCTTCTGTTTGCAGATGAATTATCACCAGAAGAATCATCAAATTCACCAGAGTCTGTAAGAAAGGAAGATTGGGAGGAAGAACACCGGTCAGAATCAAACTCCACATTATTTATACCCCTTTCTTCCAGGCATTCCCGATTTGCATATTCAAGTATTAGCTGCTTTGCTTTATTTTCTGAATCGGGGCTTAAGGTTTTGCTAAGGTCTCTAGCAATTGTTTTACCAGTTCCTGGCTGATAATTCCTCAGCTCATAACGTAAACAGGCATTTATCCATCGAAGATAGACTACTTCTTCAGCATCAGCACACCGATCTGCTTGAAGTCCCTCAATTTCCTTCACTAAACCTTCATTTTCTTGCCTTAAACGGTTGTTTTCTTCGGTTAAAGGTTCTGCCTGCCAAAAAAAAAAACCCAGGAATCTAAACTTGTCCAAAAATAGTGGAAAACTTTAACGTACACACAGAGAGAACAAGGAAGGAACTAAACACCTCATGATCTTCCAAAACAGAAATTGCAAGGATTTGAGTGGATTCCAACCTCTGAGCCAAATCAGAATTTTCTAGCCACAAACTACGATTTGACTTCCTTAACTCCTCTGCCTCCTCCTCCACATCCTTGAGTCTTTGCAGCTTCAATTGTATATCCGGATCATTTGCAACAGCCTTGTGTTCCCGATCCTGCAGCTCTGTGACTTTATCTTGAAGGGCTAAGATCTGCTCCTTGTTCTGTTCAGCTTCAGACCTAAGTTTCTTCTTGAGCAGCTTTATCTTTGCTCTTGCAGCTTCAAGTTCTGCCACGACTTCTACATAATCGTCCACTCGTGCCTCTAATCTTTCATTATCTGCCTGCAAGGACTCAAGCTTTAGAGTAAAAAGCTTAGCCTCTATATGGTTTATCTTCAGTCGATTCTGGAGCTCCATGACAGCAGTTTCTTGCTCTTTAAGTCCATAATAGTCGAGCAATTGGATCTCAAGAGCTCTCTCCCTCTCTCTGAGAAATCTGACCATATTCCTGAGGTTATTGATCTCTTGCTCATGGTCAACACTTTCCACAATTCTAAATGCTGTAGTAGTTTCTAAATCTGACTTGAATGCTTCCACACCTTTCACGGGAGAAATGTCAGCCTTGGTGGCTGCCAAATCTAATTCTTTCACTAGCCCATTAAACTTTGTCAAGAGGAACCCATCTTTTTCTCCATCATATCTACTGCTTGGGGAGAGACAAGAGGTGGTATTGTCAATGGTAACCATCTGGACACATGACTCTTCCTGCAGCGGAGAGAGAAAGATTAGTGTTACTTACAGAATTTGTAATCCTGCAGAACCATAATCAACTCATTTGGCTGGTTCGGGGAAAAACAATATCATAATTCATAACGGCCGTATATTTATGCCCATTATTTTGATCCCCATGGTTCACACAATTTATTTGCTAAATTTATATGCAAAAGTTTAGTTCTCAAAGTATCCCATTTAAGGGGTACATTGACAAACATGGCAATTTAAAGGAATGTTGAAGGAGTTTCATTCTTAACAATCTGTCATAAGCTTGAAGCTTCCATTCCCTTACTATATTTGAAGCAACAGCCTAAATGAATACATGTGCCAACACACCAACTTTAGGTTAATTTAACAAAGACATTGACAACTGTGATCATTGATCCCAAAATGCTCCATCTAATTGCAAAGAAGTTGTAGTAGGAAAATAATAAAAAAAATGGGGAACCTTATGGCGGAATTTAGGTCGGGGAGACTGCTGTGGGCATCAAATTTTTTCCTTCCGACTGCTTTAAAATCAAATAAATAAAAAAATAAATGGTTTTTAACTTGTACATTTTAGCAAACACCAAGCAATCCTGTTTAAGTCAGGTATTTCCTAATTCTATTTAGCACAACAATATCGATATGATCAAGTGCACAAATAATTCCTTGCATCAAACATCAATATGATAATCAAAACTGATCGAAGCAAATCAGATTGCACATTAAAACCCCACAAACAATATTGTATTGAGTCTATTATCTACCAAGTCAATTAATAATACAAATAAAAAACATAAACTAAAACGAATCTTACCCATTTCTCCGGTGCAATTGAATCAGGATTGCAAGAACAAAATGTTGTCTTTGAGGCATGATGATCATTTCCCAGCCCAGCTTTTTCCTCTCCCTTATCATCTTGATTGTCACAATCTGAATACAAATATGCATCTTCTATGACTAAACACGAACTAAAACTCGAAACCCAAATGAAGATTGACATACGAAAAAATGACGAGAAACAAACCCATTGGATGCGGTGAGCCTGGAGGTTCACCGGGTTCAATCCGTTTGCTTCTGAGAACAGTATAGAGAACCCCGCCAAGAGAGAGAGCCAATGCCACCCCAAATTTCAATACCAGAGGCCTTACGCCTCTCTTCAGTCTTACACACATGGTAAAAAATCCTATAACTGTAGTTCTACTCATGAACCTGTACATAAATATACAGAGAGCAGGTATATGTACAAAGTAATGGGAGAAAGGAGAGAGGCAGATCATAGGTCCTCTTCTTCATCATCCCCCATCTACATTTTCAAAAACAAAACAAACCAAAACAAAATAACCTATGTGAGCAAAACAACTAATAAGCAAAACCATTGTTCAATTTAACCAAAACAAAATGACCCACGTGAGAAAAACAATTGATAAGCAAAACCCTTGTTCAATTTACCAAAATAAAATGACCCATGTGAGCAAAACAATTAATAAGCAAAACCCTTATTCTATTTAACCAAAACAAAATGACCCATGTGAGCAAACCCTTTTTCAATTTTAGATGATTCTAGAGAGAGAAAAAAATATTAGAGAGTAGGGAACTTACTACTGGATTAAATTTGTTGGAGATGAAAGACAGTAACCGTGAAATGAATCAACAGGTAAGAGAGAGAGTTAACGTGAGACATGTTTGGATGTTGTTCTTCTGTTACAGACTGAAATTGTGTGCTCATGAGCTGAATAGGCCTTAAACAGTTGGGTTTGAAAACAAATTTATTAATGAAAACTGGCCATTGATTTTTGTCTTGTGTCAAGTTGAATGCAATGAGCAAAGAGTGGGTCTCGAATATATAGATAGATTATATAGGGACAGAGTGTTGATGAAAGAGAAAATTAGGTTCTTGTTATCAAGTTGGCACATATAGAGATAAGAATTTTCCAACTGGTAATTGATAAGAATTCCACCTTTTATTTGGATAAAATTAACGGACACACTACTAAATCGGGAGGGTTTTTTTTTTTTCCTATTTTCCCTCCATTTCTTCTTCTTCTTTCCTTATATATATATATATATATATATATATATATTATTTTGTACATATACCATTGACACATCATAAAGGAAATGTGAATTGGAAAACGGTTGTCAAAGTCACAAGTGAGAAAAATAACAAATAAAAACATCGATGAGAGACTAATTTAATAGTCCGGTCACTTTATTTTTCTTTTCTCATGCCATCTACCTTTGGTGTGAATGGAATGAATTGTTTTTTCAATCATTCATTTATTTGGTATGTTATTTAAAGCGACAATATTTATTCAATTAAAATTAAAATCAACTCCATAACTAAATTTATTAAATGTCATTCCATTTTCAAGTAAAAAAAAAAATTAAATTTATATTTCCAAAAAATACTCATGTTCCAATTCCAAAAAATTACTACCAACACCATTGCTTTCCTCCACCACCTTCCACCACAACCAGTGTCTTCTTTCACCACTGTCATCTCCATTACCTTCCACCGCCTCCACAATCATACATCACTGTCAGCTCCACCTCTACGGCCTTCTACCTCCACCACCTTCGATTTCTACTATTGCCACTACTATCGCCTTCCATCACTGCCACATTCGACTACCACCAACTTCATTGACTTTTACCACCATTATTACCACCACCACCATCACCATTACCACCACCATTATTGCCGCCTTTCACCACCGCACCGCCGCTGCCACCTCCACCACTATTACAACCTCTATCGCCACCACCACCACCACCTTCCACCAACATCACTATAGCCTTCCACCACCACTGCCACCTTCCAATACCACCACTGCCACCTTCCAATACCACCACTTACACCACCACCGATTTTCATCTCCACTACCGTTGTCATCGCCATCTATTACGTGGTAATTTCTTTTTAAATAGGAAAATGTTATTTTGTGAATTTAATTTATTTGTTATTTTGGATAATTCAATTTGAAACTCGTTCAATTTTAAATTTTATATTGGTGTAACCAAATACTAGAATAATAATTATTATTTCATTTTTACATGTTTCATATTTAAAATTAAACAATAGAATGATAATGACTATATAATTCCATTATATTCTATTTAGTGCATACCAAACACATCATTGTTGATTATGTTCAAAAAATTTCAGTTTAAATAACATTAGTCATTCAAATACATCAAAATCTTTTATCATATATTCAAAAAGTGGAATTTCAAGATATTCTCTTGTCTAACCGAAGAGTTGAAACTTGAAATGCTGAGTTTGGATCAAATTATATAAGGTCAAATAATTTTTTCCTTTTTATCAATAATGGATTCAACATTTTGGAAATAAAAATTATTGATAATAATAATAGTAACACACCCAACTCCATATCATGCATGGATTAAAGGAAAATGCAGCATCCATATTTTCTTCCATTGGGAAATTTAAGAAAAAATAGATTTTTCTTAAAAGTGATTTCCGTTTTAGGTTTTTGTTTCCTAGTTTTTTCTTAAAAATGATTTTCATTTTAGGTTTTTGAATCCGTTTTATTTTTTTAAAATAGAACTTTAAGAAAAGTTTGAAAAATACACACTTTAATGAAATTTCAAGCTTTCATTTTTTTTTTATAGACACACCATTAAATTCTTTGTTAAGAAATAATTTATAACGACAATATACCGAACTAGTTATTTATATTAATTTTAATTTAATATTAAAAAATATTTTTGTTTTTATTATTTTATAATATATGTCAAAAAGTGATCCATCTCATTCAATCTTACTATCATAAATAAATTCAATTGGTAAAATTTAATATAAGAGGACTATATATATTTAAACTTTTTCTTCTTAGATCTATATCTCCTGTTATTTGATGAAATGATCCAAAAATATCCCAAGTGAGCTGATTTATATTATTATTACTGTATTTATGAAAAACACTTTCTTTTTCAATTTGTCACGTGTGATAACAAAAGGAAGATTAAAAAAAAAAACAGAAACGTAAATGTAAAATGAAAGAAAGAAGTGCACTTCAGGGTTTTTCCTCTCCTCAGAGTTAAACACAAAACCCTAGTAATAACCATTACACTCTTCACTCCGACTCTCTCATTTCCAATTCTCAAACATGCAAGCAATGCGGTTTCTATACACCCAACAACAATATCTATACATTCGTAGATTCACATCACGCCCTTCCTTCATCTCCTTCAAATCTTCACAAAACCCTCAATATGCCCGGCATTTTCGGCCACCTCACCGAAGAACCATTCACTCAACAAACCACCATCACTACAAAGAATCAAGCGTCGATGTCGATGGCTATGGTACAAGGAGCTGGAATAATTTAAATTTATCGGTCAAAGAAGCCGCTTCAATAAATGAGGAAAACCCTAAGGTTAGCACTGTCGACGTTCCGACTTCATGCGAGCTCGTGACCAGTAGAGAAATGACGGACAATAATGGAGAACAAGGTTTGGAATCGAGTGACCGAGCAGAGAATTACCCAACCTTGTCGAGTTTAGAGTACGAAGATGATCCGAAAGATAGGTCTTTAAGAGGAATGACGAACGATAATGGGGAACACGAATTGGAATCGAGTAACGGAGCTGAGAATTACCCGACCTTGTTGAGTTTAGATTTCCAAGATGATCCCAAAGATAGGTCTTTTAGAGAAATGACGAACAATAATGGGGAACAAGAATTGGAATCTAGTAACGGAGCTGAGAATTGTCCGACCTTGTCGAGTTTAGATTTCCAAGATAATCCCAAAGATAGGTCTTTTAGAGGAATGACGAACAAGAATGGGGAACAAGAATTGGAATCAATTAACGGAGCAGAGAACGGGGAACAGGAATTGGAATCGAGTGATGATCCGAAAGATGGGTCTTTTGGGGGTGTTGCGAAGGCTTCAGTAGGTGGGTTGAGACTGGAATCACGTAGTGGTCAATCTTATGGGAATAAGAAGAAGGGGAAGAAAAAGACTGTTTGGGTGTGTTCCGATTGTGGATTTTCTTATCATGGTCGGTGGCAGGGATTTTGCAGCCAATGTGACGGCGCCGCCACATTTAAATTGGAAGAAGTGAAAGAGATCCCGGCAGAAGAGAATGATGGAGGCAAAACAAGCGGGTTTAAGGTTTCAGAGAATTTGACGCGGTCATGGTGGAATTCAGTTGAGGGGGATCCATTAAGGTTGACAGATGTGAACAGGAGGATGAACCTGTCAAATTGGCGAATACCTTTGTAAGTTCTTGGTACATAATGTCTTCAATTAATGTTGATATTTATATATGTTAAACTGCTCTGCGTGAGAATTACTTGGACATGGCAGCTGTTTATTAAATAGAAGCGGTTGTTGAAATTGTAAATCCATGGAGGAGCTTTTTGTTTTTTCCGACTTGTTAAGGGTTTAGAGGCCCTATTTGGCCTTGTGTAGCTTTTGAGGGAGATCGCTTTTTATACAATCTTTTCGTATAAAAAAAATAAATAGAAGCAGTTTATACAATCTTTACTTATGTTTAATAGCACTCAAATGAAAAGGAAAAGTTTTTGGATGGCCAAACCATGCTGAATGGAACGCAGTTTCCTACAATCAATAAAGGACATGCACATAGACTTAGCTCAGATGACATAAAACGTTAAAGTAAGTTCTGAATTAGCAATGGGATTTTTTTTTTTTTTTTTTTTTTTCTCTAAATAAGCTGGATGGGTTTAAAATGGCTGCAGCTTGAAAGTAATAAAGTTGTAGACTGGTTTATTTTATTCTATTTTATTTTTTAGCAGAAGAGACAATTCTAATGTATTATCACTCTTTATTTTTCAGCAAAAGAGACGATTATAATGTATTATCACTCTTCTAATTCAAAAGCTCTGGTTTTTTTGTCGGTATGGAGCTATTTCATTATTATTTTAAACACTGAGCTATTTCATTATTATTTTAAACACGTGGTGGAATTTTATTTCCATCTTCCACTGTATGATATGCTTAGATGTTGCCCTGATACTCATATAAATAAAATATGTTCGTGGAGTCTCTGTCAATTGTATATTGATGTCTAAAAGAGAATATTGATAACCAATTACAGTAGGTGAATCTTCATACCAGGTTTGGAGGTCAATGGAATTAATATATTATTGCTCAAATTTGGAGATCGATGGTTTTCTTTGTTATGTTACACAGATTGTAAGTTCAGAGTTTAGACTGTTTGCATCTGTCATGTTTGATATTTAGGTCTGAGGAGTCTGACAGAATTGGAGATGAAGTTGCTAGGGTGCTTGGTGGGGGTGTGGTACCAGGTATAAATTTTGTTGTTGCTTGTTTATATTCCCTGCATTGTAGCTATTTGAAGTTCTTACTCTGATTCCCCTTTTTCTATTGGTAAACTTAATTTTGTAGTCCCAAGTTTTTTGATAGCATAACTTTGGTATCTTAGTTTATCCTATGCAACTTCTTTGTCTATCGATGGGATCTGACGAGTTCTCTATTCACATAAGGTTTACCAGAGTAATTTCTGGTACTTATAGTTATATATGTCTTAACTTAATTTAATTAGTATACAACTTGTGTTATAGATTAGATGAAATGATTTACTTCAAATTCCGTTTAGCAAGTTAAAATCGTTTCTGATTTAGCTCCAGATCTCTATAATGTGCTAACATCTGGTTGGCTAGGGCTGCTCAGATACAAGAAACAGGGCTGTAGTGTCTTTTATGAGGTTCTTAAAGTTATTGAGACCTAATTTGCAGGATTGAACACTAAATGGTCTAAGGATGTTGAGAATGTGAAGGTTGATGAAGGTGAGGTGATGGAGATAAAATTTTGAAAGTCTACGTAATTTTACTAAAGAATCTTGGGCAATTGTACTGAAGATGGGACTTGAATCAGGCATCATTTATTTGTAGTATTGTTGTTTATATATTTTTCTTTCATTACTTAGAAATCAAAATTATACTAATATATTAGTTCTTAGAATACCTACTGCTGCATAAAGCTTGGGGAAAAAGTGAGTTGGGAATTTGGGATACAAGACAAACCAAGTTAACAGACTCAAACTATTTGACTAGACTATAAATATGAAAAACTAAGGAGATTACGTGGCTAAATCCAATTAACGATGCCGCGGGGCCAAAACAAAATGATCAAAATATTCCATGATAAAGAAAAAAATAGTTCAATCTGAAGGGGTAGCTTAATGATAAGACTCTCACCAATTCCCTTGAGGCCACTCTCAGGGAATATCCTGGTAATTCCTGGGGCATGTGGGATGGGGTGACTGGGCTATGGGGCGCTCTAAGAGGCCGTCAGCACCATTGATGACAGAAAAAGAGAAAAAGAAAAAAAGCATTGCCCGAAAAGTTTAGCTAATAGTTTTGTGAAGAACTATATTGCCCTCAAATCCGCCTTCCTTTTTATTATTAATGTTTCCCAAATCTCCTTGGCATTTGTATTGCATAAATCCAATTTTTCTCTTCCAACATGTTAGAGTATATGATTTTGGTTGCAAACTCCATTAATTCCTAACTTTGATTTTTTTTTTTTTTTGTAATCATTCGGTGTTAAGGATTTCTCAAACCTTTATTATGCAGTGTATGTTTAATGGTTTTGTAGGTTCTTTGGTTTTGGTTGGTGGTGATCCTGGAGTTGGCAAAAGTACACTGTTGTTGCAGGTATAAGTTTGTTATATTAGATTTAGCTGACTCTTGAGCAGATTTGTGCTGGGGCACTTACACAGTTTTGTTGCATTATTAACTTGGAATTTCTATTTCATTGAACTTGTGATGATCTCCTTTTCTCTTATTGATCCTTTGATTATATCAAATGTTGCTTCTTGAATTGGAAGATTGCTGCAATAATAGCTGAAGACCGTATTTTTGGTAAACCAGCTCCAGTTGTGTACGTCTCTGGTGAAGAGGTTAGTAAAGTAGAGATTTATGAATAGGCCTATTATCAAAGCTACTATGTTTTGATGCATCATTCTTTGTATTCCTTCCTCTAATTTTTCTTGACATTTGCCATTCTTTGTTGTTCACTGCTTTTGTTAAACTACAGGGGCATGCATGTGGATTGTGGACAGTCTTACTATTATGGATTTTTGACGACTTTATTAATTGTTTCAGTTGAATTAGCTCATTTTCAGTGAAATTTAGTTTTGTTGTTTTAAAACAGTTTTAAGGTGTTAATGACAACTTCACATTGCACTGGAAGATGGATTCAAGCGTTTCAGGAAAAGGAAGTCAATGATTAGCATTTCTTTGCCATTCTGAAAAGCCTGCAATCTGTTGTTTGTGGTCCGTTTGGTGTTGCTGTAGCTTATAACAAGCACTTTTTATTTATTTTTATTTTTTATGTAGAGCTGTCAAAAAGTGCTTGGCAACGTTGTATGTAAAACACTTGAAACATTATTTTTCCTTAAATAGGCTTTCTATATATTTAGGATCTCTAGTTGCAAAAACTCCACTTTTTAGCCATGGCCAAAATCTCTACAACTATTTTAGTTTATTTTATTTATGTTTTGTTATCAAACACACCTAAAAGAGAATTTTAAATTAAAAACGCTTTTAGTCTGTCCAACAACAACGCCAAACGGGTAGTTAGACTAAGATCAAATTTTCTATAACTTCATGTTTGGTAAAAAAAATTTGCTTTTACCTTGGTGAACAACGAACTGATGCCATTCCATTATCTCACTGCATTATAGCTTATAGCAATTGAGCAATTTGATGTGTTTATTCTCCTCAATGCAGAGTGTTCAGCAGATTGGACACAGAGCAGATCGTATGAAGATTGGAACAAAAGAGCTTTTCTTATATTCAAGTACCGATCTTGAGGTGCATTCTTCTGGACACGCTCATCAGCTTTGGTTTTAGTGATTATTCTGATTGTGACTTGTGCGCTAATGGTCACTCTGTTTTGGTTTTTAAAATGTGTTCAGTAAAAACCCTTTTAGTATTATATATATAGTATAGGTACATATTGAGTGTGTGCTTGTGATGGTCTTTTCTTCTCTTTAACTAATCTTTATCAGAGTCATGCTAGACTTATTATGATACTAAAACTTGTAAGACTGAGATTCAAAGTATCTATAAGCATTAGAGGATCCTCCGAGGTTGAAATTCAATGGACTGATAGATATATGGAAGGACATTATCAGGAAAACAAATAGAAAATGTTGAAAAAAAAAAATAGCGGTCATAAACTTTGTTTATATTACTCATTTTAGGTCTGGATGATTGAAGTTGGCTGGTTGTTTCTTGTAAATAGTGTGTGATGAACCAACTGCAAAATATTTTCTGTAGATGAACAAAGATTTCCCTTTAATCTCACAAGGAAGCCTGAGACTAACTTAGGAAATTGCACAGCCAAATAATTCATGACTTGATTAACCAAATGGGCTATATGGTTTGTCTAAACACAATCTCTAGACTGCTAGATCTATTGGGTCTTTTTTTTTTTTTGATAAGTAAAAAGTATATTAGAAAAGCGTTCAAAAGGGGAACGCGTCCCTAATACAAGAAGAAAAAAGACCTGAGGACCAAAAGATCAAAGAAATCATCAATCGAGGAGCTTGCGCTTCCTCTTACATAACAAAACAGAGAACGAAGAATATGAATTTTCAGATTTGCTACAGACGCTTCTTTTCCTTCGAAGTTTCTGTTATTCCTCTCACGCCATAGACACCACCAAACACAATGTGGAACAATCCTCCAATAATCACGAGCATGTTCTTTAACAGGACATCGTCTCCATGCATTAATCAATTGTGAGGAGTGCTTAGGCATTTCCCAATAAACGCCTAACATGCTAAAAATAACACTCCAACAATCGTATGCCACAGGACAGTTGAAAATTCACAGTGCAATTTTGATAATTGTAAACTTGTGTCTGGGCTTAATTATAGTCGACTGTTATAGAAAACAATGCCTACATGGATCAGAAGCAACTCAAATCCTGACACAGAAGTTTGAAAGAACTCTCAGAAATTTTGCTTAGAACATAAAATATTTCTTCTAATTCAAGCTCCTTAAACAAAAATTTAGGATTGTCTCAGACTTGTAAAAAAAATTGCAAGCCTTGGCATAAATGTTAAAAAAAAATATGATTCAAATAACCAAAAACTAGATGGTTGGAGTTTATATAATCTCTGCACAACCTGGTCTAGAAAGAGGGCAGAGAGTTGCATACTAAAGGATGCAAGAATAAAATAATCGAGTCATGTTTGAATAAAAAGAAAGGATTTTTACCCGTCTTAGATTTTCTTATGCACATATATGTATATAAATTTCTTTTTAACTTCCTCGGTCCCATAATAAATGTCCTGATTTCTTTTTTTTTGGGATGTCCCAAAATAAGTGTCCACTTTTTGAGATGTTTTAAATTTCAACTTACCCAAATTGTTTTAGGTTTTAAAAATCTTTTCAAATCAATGAAGTAAATGTTTAAATTTTTGTTAGGTTAGTTTTGTAATTTTCAAAGGGACAGTGCATTGAATGCATGTTCCCTTAAACAGAGGAAGTAATTTGTTTTTATTGGCAAGGATGGATGCACCCAACATACGTGTCCTGTTGCCTCAGTTGAAACCTGAACCCTCAGCCTCCGATTTGTGTAAAATCTTCTGTTGACAGGTAATGTTGAAATTTTTTTTTTTTACCGGTCAAAAAGTTCTTTGGTAGACAGGAGTTTCTTCCAAGGTGATAATCCGTCTGTGGATGGTGGCTCATGGGTAGATCTTTGCTATAAATAATCTGATTACAAGTGGAAAAGTTATCCCCGATTGTTGTTTCATGTCTAAAGAAGCAGGTGTGTCAACGAATCATATATTTATCTGCTGCGATTGACTTGGGAGGTTCTGTCTTTGGTGATAGCCATTTTGTAATATCTTTTCCCTAGTTTAGTGCTTCTGATGGTTCATAGTTGGAGGAGGAAGGGGGTTGTGGGTGGAGTGAATATGAGAGAGAAGAATACTTTTGGTGCAGCTCCTTGTGCATTTGGCACATCAAATCATGAAGATTTTGATGGATTTGAAGAACCAACTCACAAGTTAAAGAGTATTGTTATGGGCCTTTGTTTAGTTGGCGGATGGGTAGGGTGTATCCGTCCCTTGAGATAGATTCTTTTGCTCTTTTAGATGAGACACGTCTGTCCTTGTATGTACCATGTGTAGTATGTTGCACCCACGTTAGCACCTTATAGTGATTTTTTAATCCTTTTGCTTGCCAAAAAATACAGCAAAAAACAAACTATCATTTATGGATTTTGAGCAGATGTTTGGTTTGTGGTTTTTTACTCCCTTAAGCAACATATATGGTTCATATGCATTCTTTTTCCTTTTAGTGCATTATAGAAAGACATGTTCAAAGTAAAATGTGTCCAGCAGATGTTTGGTTTCTGGGCTTTTACTCCCTTCAGCAATATACATGGTCCATCTGCGTTCTTTTTCCTTTTAGTGCATTATAGAAAGACACTTTTAAAGTAAAAATGTGTTTCATTTCAGAACTTGTTTGCCTTGATATGAGGAGAAACTTTGTACAAGTATATATTACTCCGGTCTTTTGTACACAAAGTTACATAATTTCAAAGTTTCTCTTTCTGTCAATTGAAACATGCCCATGTTTCCAAAACTTTTCACTTGAATAAAGGAATTCAGAAATTTATGAGAAATAGATTCTTTCGCTCCTAAATAGGAGCATATAGGCATATAGCTGGCCTTGTATACATCGTGTGTGTATGTGGGTTCCAGCCCACCCCTGTTGGCTATGTGTAGTGAATTTTAATCCCTTTGCATGCCAAAAAATATAGCTAAAAACAAAACTATCATTTTATGGATTTTCAGCAGATGTTTGGTTTGTGGTTTTGTAGTCATCTTGGCAACACATATGGTTCAGATGTGGTCTTTTCCTTTGAATGTGTCATAGAAAGACACATTCGAGTAAAATGTGTTCCTTTTTGAACATTGAATAGTATTTATGTATTTATTTAAAGCATCTTAGCAAGGTGACTTTCTAAGTTGTATGGTGTGCTGCGTATTTGTTCATAGTATGATGTATAATTGTATATTGTACCCCAAAGTAGATTCTCCTTTACTTTAAGGCATGCATATTGGTCATAGTTCAAATGATAGCAGAGAATGCATTTCCCCACATACATGAATTTCAACTCTAATACCTTATCACACATTATGGATTTTTACCATATTATAGAGCAAATATGTAAGGTAGATTTATGAAGGCTCAAACTATTCTTATGTGCTTTCCGCCCCCTTTTGGTGCTTTCTTTCAGGATATATTAGGAAAAGTTCAAGCTCTCTCACCTCGGGCTTTAATCATTGATTCCATTCAAACAGTTTATCTGAAAGGAGTTGCTGGAAGTGCTGGAGGTCTCATGCAGGTTCTAATTCTCTTGAACAATTTAGCTGCTCTTACCAAGTGGTAAATCAAGTTAGCTCAGTATAAACATAATAGGATGCTTCAATTTGGGAATGGCATAATGCTGAAGCCATTAACTCTCGAAATCATCTGTATCTCCTTTGAATGAAAATGAATACATTAAGATCCTCTCCTTTGCAAATCAATTCTTGTTGACATTATTATCCAATCAGAATTTTAGGTTTTGACAAGTTACTGAAAATTTGCTTTGTAAAAAATGCACCTTTTTTCTCCTTTCCCTCTTTTGTCCTGTATTTTGTCTGAGGGCCTGAAATGTTACAATTTATGCCCAGTTAGGTTGCCAAATAGCATCAGATGTACATTATTGATGTGATATAAGGTGTTGGTCTGAGAAGGCTCTAATAATGACTTGACATGTGACAGGTGAAAGAATGCACAGCAGCCTTGCTGCGTTTTGCTAAGAGGACAAATATTCCTGTTCTTATGGTTAGTATACAACTGTCAGTAATCTATTTATATATATATATATATATATATAAATTGTTTTAGAACTCGTTACATAAGTTGGACTCACTCAAACTTGATTCTTTTCAATAGCTGCTGTTAAAGTTTTACACACTGTAACAAATTAGTTTTGAACTAACATGTTTTTCTCCTTTTGGCGGGAATGCTTCTAATAGGAAGTAAATGCTGGAATTCATGGCATTCCATATTTCCTCCTTACGCTTGTAAAATAAAAAATAAAAAACTGTTGATGAAATTAGTTCTATAATTTCTATTCTTCAGATCTGGGCTGTTGTCTCTTCTTTCTAACAAAATTAAACTACTTCTCACATCTTGTTTTTCTGTTATGCTACTTTTGTCTTAATGCTTACACTTTGTACTCAACGTTTTCTTTGTCTTGCAACTCATGCATCTCTGTTGTCTCATTTTTTCTTGCTCTCATTTATGAATTGAAAAGGTGAAGAGTGATATCCTTTGGGAAGGTAGAAAAGAGGAGGGAGTCATGAGCGAACATACTATTTTATGACCAAGATGTTACTTCATTAGAAAAATCTACATTCTTAAAAATTTCCCTTGTGAATTAAAAACTTGCTTTCAAATTCTTCTTCCCACAAAGCCAAAATTTACCCTAGTAAATTGTTTTCCCTAGTTGATACTCACACACCCCTCATGGAATTGTTTGCACCCAAGAGGATTTGAAGCTTAGACCTGATGCTTCCTGAGAATTATGGGAATGAGAAGAGCCCCTCATGGGTTTCCTTTTCTCCTCTTCTTCCTCCCCCTCCTTTTCAGTTTAGTTAAGTTTGGGTATCATGGTTGGGTTTAAAGGATTGGCGTGTGTTAAGATCCGGATTGAAATAGGGAAGACCATTTCATCTAATCAGACCTAAGATCTGAAATAAGCAGATTGAGTTTGGATCCAAAACTGTAACTTCTTGTGTTGGGAAGAAGGATGAAGCTGATACATGCAAACAAGAAAGATGAAGAAAATTTTGATTTGATGATCACTAGTTACTGATATGATCTTTTTTTGGGTCCTCTTTTAGGTCTGATAGATCATCCGGATTACTCATGAATTTGCATCGAAATTGAATTGCCTTGTTAAAATTTATGGATCTTTGGTAACATTTGACCAGAACTTATTTTTCCATCTAGCATCAAACTCAAAGTCATCCGAGGAGATCACTATGATCTGGTAAGGATTCTTGTTTACACTGGGCTCCTCTGGCTTGTCAAGCACTACTGCCTCTGATTCGAGAAGGTCTTGAATTTGGGGCTTCATAGTGAAATAACTTTCTGTGGAGCGTGCAGGAGTTCTGGAGTGATAACCACATTTGTTTTCGGGATCATAGCTTTGGGCAATGGGTTGGGAGGAGGTCTTGCTGGGATAGGAGGGAGCTGTTCCTGGAGGTATTCCCATGCTTCGGTATAAGAGCTTCCAAGCGGGGTGAAGAGGGTCATTCTGCCTGGTCCGCCCGGTCCCATAGCCATAAAATTGGACATCTTCACTTTACGCGTGGTTTCCACTTTACAATGTCCTCTTTTTATTAGAAAAGTTTCAAAAACCACGAACCTTTGTTGTCCATCTGCTAAAAAGAACTCCTCATTCCTAAACGATGTCTTTCCCCTTTTCAATTTCTGTCCAGTAGTCATTTAATGAGAAAGCATCGGCAGTCCTTAGTCTTCTTAGCATGAAGCCTAGCTGATTCTTCACACGTGTGTTCATGTTTTACTTCTCAGTTATTTCTTGTCAAAGATTAGTAGTATGCCTCGTAAGTTAGATGTCATAATAATTGGTGCAACTCAAAACAAATCCTTTTTACTTATGACCCATTTGGCATTTCTTCTCTATTTTCTTTTAATTTATGCAAATTGGTACTCTATATTGTGTTCAATGGCATTTTATCTATTCAGTTAACAGTTCCATCAGTTTATTGCTTTATTTTGATTATTTCCATCTATATTTTGTTCAACAACTGAGTTACGTATTTTTGTGTATGTCAGATTGGACATGTGAATAAATCTGGAGACATAGCAGGACCTCGTGTCTTGGAGCACATCGTTGATGTTGTTTTATATTTGGAAGTTAGTACCTTCTCGCATTTCTTTTCTTGTATAGTTTCTATTGCTGATATTAGATCACTTTGTCGTCTTCTTATCCTTTTAGAGTTGCATATCTGAAGTGGATCTCTTTGCTCACAGCTGGAGATATCACATTATTTTATTTCTACAAGTACCTGCATTTTATTTCAATATAGCTGGCAGTGATTATGATGGTATTGAAAATGATGTTTCTTTTTTGTTCCTTTATTAGTAGACTACTTTGTTCATAGTTCGAGTGTTATTGAATTCTTGAAGAACTAAAAAATAGGTTTTAATATGTCACCATTCGAAAAGAACAATTGTGACATGTTAATATGCTGAAAATTAATGTGACGAGTGTTCTCCACTGCATATAGTGTGTTATTTGTGGAAAAGAGGGGATGTGTTTGATGAAGGGTATGTAGAACTAGGGCATGGAGAAGTGGGTCACATCTGTATGGTTCCACCTGCAGTTTTCTTTCGGTCTTACCTTGGCTGAAGAATCAATCTTCACGCCTCATTTTGTTTCTCCCAGATTAAGTGGCTTTCTGTATGTAGATGTTATAGATTAGTAAGATCTTTATCGTTCCTATGATTGGTAGACAGCAACTCTTTCCTTGGTGGATGTTCCTTTGAGTGGTTAAAAGAGTGTGGCACGCCATCCCCCTTCCCACTTCTTTCTTCCTTTCTTTGATCCTATGTTCAAACTTATCGAGGATTGCCTTACTATTATCCTAAAACTCTTTGGATTCTGCTGGTTTTTTGAAGGCATTATGCTCTTGTTTCATGTTTGCCATCTCAAAGATTTTGGTTGTATGGTCACATGGTGATTTTGGTATCTTTTAAAGGATAGTATTGCCACGTCTCATCCATTCAGCAGTCCGCATGGCTCTCTCCATATTGCCATAGCATCATTTTGACACTCCACATGTCACTCCCTCAACTTGCCGTGTATTGTCCAAGTTGGGCATTTCAGATATCCTCGCACATTCTCAAACACAATCTTGCTGACGCCCTTTGTAAGAATGTCTGCAAGCTGCTGAGAGCTTGTAACAAATGGAGTGCAAATTTGACTAGAGATGATCTTCTCTCGAATGAAGTGACGGTCCACCTCTGTATGCTTAGTCCTGTCATGCTGAATGGGATTTGTTGCTATGCTACCTCTATATGCTTAGTCCTGTCATGCTGAACAAGATTTGCTGTTATGCCAATGGCAGACTTCTTGTTGCAGTAGAGTGAGAATGGAAGTGACATTGGAAGTCACAAGTCTATCATCAAGGTTTTCAGCCATAGCAACTCACATACCCCAAGAGCCATAGCCTTATACTCTGCCTCTGCACTAGATCGAGAGACAACATCCTGCTTCTTACTGCGCCAAGTAACTAAGTTACCACCAATAATGGCACAATAATTCAAAGTTGACCTCCTATCTGAAATTAATCCTGCATAATCAACATCTGTCCAAGCCTTAACACGTAAGTGACCATGATTGGCAAACAAACTACCGCGACCTGGACACCCTTTTAAGTAGCGAAGGATCCGAATAGCTGCATCAAGGTGAGGGGTACGAGGAGAGTGCATGAATTGACTCATGACACTCACGACATAAGTAATGTTAGGTCGAGTCATGGATAAATAGATGAGCTTCCTCATAAGTCATTGATACTGACCAACATTTGACAACTACTCCCCCTTAGAATTAGCCAACCGATGATTCTACTCAATTGAAGTATCAGCAGGACAAGCGCTAAGTTGACCAGAAGCAGAAAGCACGTCAAGAACTTACTTGCGTTGAGAGATGAAAATGCCAACCTTGGAGCGAGCCACCTCAATGCCCAAGAAGTATCGTAGGGGACCGAGATCCTTAATCTCAAACTGACGGCCAAGAGAGCTTTTAACCTCAGCAATTTCGGTAGTATCATCGCCGGTAAGAACAATATCATCGATATACACAATGAGAGCAACTGTGTTACTACCTGAATGACGTAAAAACAAGGTATGATCAGCTGCACTTTGATGGAAACCAAACTTGAGCATGGCAGTGCCAAAGCGATCAGACCAAGCTCGAGGAGACTGCTTGAGGCCATACAAAGAACAACGTAGACGACATACCATACCAGAATGAGCAGGAGAACGAAAGCCCGGAGGAGTAACCATGTACACCTCCTGCAAATCACCATTGAGAAAGGAATTCTTGACATCTAACTGAAATAGAGGCCAAGATTGAATCGCAGCAAAGGAAAATAATACACGGATGGTTTTCATCTTGGCAACAGGGGCAAAAGTCTCCTTATAATCTATGCCATAAGTCTGAGCATAACCCTTGGCAACCAACCTGGCCTTGTAACGAACAACTGACCCATCTGGATTATGCTTAACTATGAACACCCAACGACAACCCACAACCTTACCAACGGGTCAATGGCCTAGCGGTATCAGCCTCTTACCTTCCAAAGGGAGGTCAAGGGTTCAAGTCTTAGAAGAGACAAGTGTGTGTGAGTACCAACTAGGAAAAAAAGACAACTCACAACCGTTCGTCCAATAGGAAGTGGAAATGTATGAATCCTATAAATATTTTACGAAGGTTTGGAAAAGATTGGATCTTTATGATCTAAAGGATGGAAGTAAGGCTGTAGGGCTTGCAAATTAAAATGAATTGGAATTGGCTTGATTTAAAGTGATAGGTTGGAGGAATTTCTGGAAAAGGGTGTTGGAATCTGGACAGCTAATATTGTGGGATTTTGGGTGTTAATTGTACTCTGTATATTATCTTGGACCTGGAGAATCCTTGTTGACATAACATGCCATGGGGATGGATACACATCAATCACATGATGTAAATGGATCTTTGTGTTGGATTTGTTACTCTATGTGACTGATTTAGCAATCTTCACTCATTCTTTCTGTCTCCTTTTGCATTTCCTATTTTCCACAGTTAATTTTCAGATTTTGGAATGGTTTAATTACCTGAATAAGAAGACCATGTCTATTTTTAATGTATGAATCCTATATATATTTTATGGAGTTATGTAGGGTATATGTTATGTCAGATTTTTTATTTTGTAAGGGGCTTTTACTTATATTTAGCACTCTTATTTCTCTGTTTTTTATTTGGTTTGGAAGGACATTTCTTCCTTCACTAGTCGTTTCTTTGACTATGTTCTTCTTGTTTAAGTCTCATCTGTTTTTTCCAATGAAAGGAGCCGTTGCTATCTAATTTTTTTAGCATATGCAACAGTAAGTAATTCGAATTAGGTAAGTAAATTTGCAATTTTAAAAATATTAAATTATTTCTCTTTATGAAATTTGCTGATATGATAATGTTAGTGGGGGTAAACATTATATATTTCTTATGGTTGCTTCTAAAAATCATTTTTAATTTTGAAAATGAATATAATGTTGTTTGTTTGCTGATAACCAAGAATAGTACCTTGGTGTATCACTTTTTTGTTTGCTTATTATTCTTCGAGATTTCTGCTTGAGTAGTTAGCAGTCTAATCTTATTGCTATTTCACTGTTATATTTTTCAGGGGGAGAAGTACTCATCTCATCGTTTACTTCGATCAGTAAAGAATCGATTTGGATCCACTGATGAGGTATGTATTCAGCAGCAGTGCTGCTACAGCTTTGTTCTTTTCAATGCATCCATGTTCATGTTTGCCACTTGGCTTTACTTTGATGTGTCTTTTCTTTTATAGGTAACACACTCACACACTCGCTTTGTCCCAAATGGGACTTGAACCCTCAACCTCATCTTTGGGAGGTGGAGGAGATACCACTCAAGCTAATGTTTGGTAGCAAGTATTATTAACCCATTCATATATCCTGTAACTGAGAAGGTAGTTGACCCACATATGTACGGGAAAATTAGATTGTATTCATTAAACTGGCCTTTTTGTGTGTGGAAATTCTTTTTCTGAAGTTCCTTTGTTCTGTCCTTGTTACAAACTTCGGTGTCAGGTCAACAATGCCCTGTCCCACGTCCAAAATACTTGGAAAAATTTCATAGTATTTAAACGAGTAATATTTTGGAACCTCATAGATATATATGCATTTTATCCTTCTTAACCTTGGATTTTCATTAAAGCAAGTTTCCAAAAACTATTTTATGCATATCAAGAATCAAACATAAAACATATGAAACCCTAATTGATGAATGCATGAACCGTAATTGCCTATTGGTGAGTGAATACATGAGTGTCAAATAGACCTTTATACCCTTGGCATTGAAGATTACCATTTTGCTCTTAGTTGTAGGTTCAATTTCCATTCTGCCCTTGAACTAGAGGTAATATTCTGACACCATCTAATATTCAAATTCTAACTAAAAATAAACATAAAATTTGCCAACATGAGCAGGAGCGTAACCAGAAGTTTTAATTTGGAGGGGCCAAACTTGTACCATGTAATTAAAATTTGAAATTGTTTAAAACTAATTGTAATATTATTTTATTTATAATATGTAGTCTTACCTTGAGAAAATTCAAAAATGAAAAAAAATGCAGCCTAAATAAATTGAAAAAACTGATATGAGAAAGAAAAATATAGAGAAGAGGAAACAATAAGGTATAAGTGAAAAGATGTATAAGAGGTAAAGAAAAAACATTGTTAATGAATCAATTTTTCCTCGACAATTGTTTCAATCTTTCAAAAATCCAATTTTTGGAAAAACGTTTTGAGGACTTTGATTCCACTTTTAGCAATATATATCATTATTACCTTGATGAAATATTAAGGAAAAAATTAATTTTAACTAAACAAAATTTCTCAAGTTTTAGCAAAACAAGATTATTACTTTAGTAACTTGTACAAGTAGTCATACGATTTGTCATTTAGTAAGTGAAAATTAAAATTATTTGCATATACGATCTCATTGTTGTTGTTGGCATTCTTGCCATTTTGGTCTCAGAACAATTTAGTTTCTCCTCCTTCCCAAGACTCGCTAATGGAAAGTAGTCTATAATTTTAGATACTTTTCTTGTATACACCATCATGAAAATATCTGGCAAAAAAGATTAATGCTTTTTTATTAAACACAAGGGAACATTAGTGTATTTTTTTTTTTTCTTTCTGTTGAATTAATATAATGCATAGGGTAAATTGCATAAAACCCCCCTGAACTCTCTCTCTCAAAAAACCCCACTGGAGCTACTATTTACTTATTTAGATAGTTAACCCCCTAAAATATTCCCTTTTTTACTGGGACTTGTGTTTTAGGCGTTCTTTTCAGGATTGGGAGATGGACGAGGTATGTGTTTTTTTGGATTTGTTGTATCAACAGAAGGATGTTGGCAGAGGTAGTGATGACATTTTGTGGGTCCATTCCACCCATGGTAGATTTGGTGTTCGGTCCATGTTCTTTTGTCTGTCCAATTTCGTTGCTCATGATTTCCCATGGAAGACTATATGGCGTTCTAAGGCTCCACTTAGAGTCGCATTCTTTATTTGGACTGCCGTTTGGGGCAAGATTTTGACGTTGGACAATTTAAGGAAGAGAGGAAACACTATTGTTAATTGGTGTTGTCTATGTAAAACAGACGGTGAGTCTGTGGATCACATTCTTATGCACTGTCCTGTGGCGTATGATTGTTGGAATCTCATATTTGGCATTTTTGGTGTGAACTGGGTAATGTCTCAGTCCTTCATAGGATTGAATGATTGATTAACGCGTGGAGAAGATGCCCAGTGAAAAGCCACGCTCGTGACTATTGGAGGATAGTTTCACATTGTGTTTGGTGGTGCATTTGGAAAGAGAGGAATAGTAGAAATTTCGAAGGAAAGGAAACGTTTGTGGCGACATTGAAAATGTATATTCTTCGTTCTATTTTCTGTTATGTGAAAGGAAGCGATTGCTCCTTGACTAATGACGTAGTTGATCTTTTGGACTCTATAGGTCCTTAGGTTCCACTTTCATTTTTTGTATTAGGGACGTGTTCCCCTTTTGAACTCTTTTCTAATCGATTTTTACTTATCAAAAAAAAAAAAAAAAAAAATTCCCTTTTTTACAAAAAAAGTCCCATTCCGTTAATCTTTGTTGATGCAGTAATGGAAAGTTACCCTCTGCAAGTGACCTGACCAACCCATTTTTTTAAAGACACTATTGCCCTTATGACCATTACAACTTACAAGTGTACCCATTATTTAAATTGAGTTAACCCAATTCCCTTGTAACCATTACAAGCATACGCATATTTAAATCGGGTTAAACCCACAATTACTCCCACCTTCCTTTCAACAAACAAGCCCTAACTTCTTTTTTTTTCCTAGTTGGTACTCATACGCATTTGTCTCTTCTGATACTTGAACCCCTGACCTCTCTTTGGGAGGTAAGAAGCTGATACCGTTAGGCCACTGGCCCGTTGGTAAACAAGCCCGAACTACTGTGTACAATCCATTTGTGAACCCTAATAGTAATCAGCCATTAAGAAAGGATCAAACACCAGTGCAAAGATTGTAATTTGGTTTTAGTTCAGTAATATCATCTCTTTGATTTTAGAAAAAAAAAAAAACTCGCAAAAACAAAAACATATAGATAAACCTGTAAACCCCCATATATCCAGTCAAATACATTAAGTGCATCTTTAAATCTCAAGATTTCAAATATCAAACCACAATATGGAAGAACCCTGAAGCAATAACTTTAACACGAAAATCAGCCCCAAATAAGTTAAAAAAAAAAAAAAAAAAAAAAAAAAAAAAAAACCCACACAAATCGACCCAATTTTAGGAATTCAAGATTTCTTCAGATAATTCAGGTTGAACCAAGAAAGCATTGGTACCTAATCATGTGCACCTTGGTCTTCCCTAACGAATTAAAAGTATTGAGAGGGTCTAGTTCGTTTGGTTCTGAGAATTGAATAGTGAATCTTACACAGAGAGAGCCAAAGCCACCCCAAATTTCAACAGCACAGGCCTTGTATCTCTCTTCTCTCTAGTAGTTCTAATCATGAACCCACATAAATATATACACATGAAAAGATATGTACATGCAGAGAAAGAGAGACAAAGGATGAAGGCAGATCATAGGTTCTCTTCTTCATCAGCCTCCATATACATGCCCAAAAACAGGAGCAATCTTGCTACCAAGTACCAAAGCTTTCTCCTCTGCTCGGATTGGACGCTCTGGATCCTTATGATGAATCCATTAACCTGATTTTTGACTTGTTTTACTTTCTCTTCTCTCATACGAATTGTAAGAAGCTTGGTAACCGATTTACCAAACAATGACTTAATCGAATGGGTACAAGGAGAAGGTGAGGTGTCAATTTATTATTGGACTTTGAGATTACACTAAGCCACGTCACCAACTCTCTTGTAATAAGCTTTGAAATTATGCCGTTTTAATAATGGGAAAAAATGTAATTTCATATTTCTGTTAACGGCTGATTGACTTTGAAGTAACGATGTGTTGCAGCAAGGAATACAATAATAATGAACTTAAAACTTTTGTTTCAGAAGATTTGCGCTTTTAAGAGTATGGTTAAAATGGTCCAAGTAAAAAAGATACAAGTTTCAAAGATACAAGTTTCAAAGGACACAAGTTAAATTTATTTTCATGTTCTATATTTTGTGACCAATATATATGTGTTTTGAAAAAAAATCGGGGGTCAATTGAAATTCTCAATGAATTTTAGGACCACAAGTAAAGTTTATTTGTGAATTTTAAAGGTATTAATTTTTTTTGGTATTTCTTTTTTTTGGCTGGGGCGGGGGGGCATTGCCCACCCTGGTTCCGCCCCTGAACACGAGTTCTATTGACCTTACATGCAGACATATACTTGTGTATATGTAATTGAAGTAACGATGTGTTGCAGCAAGGAGTACAATAATAATGAACTTAAAACTTTTGTTTCACAAGATTTGCGCTTTTAAGAGTATGGTTAAAATGGTCCAAGCAAAAAAGATACAAGTTTCAAAGGACACAAGTTAAATTTATTTTCATGTTCTATATTTTGTGACCAATATATATGTGTTTTGAAAAAAATTTGGGGGTCAATTGAAATTCTCAATGAATTTTAGGACCACAAGTTAAGTTTATTTGTGAATTTTAAAGGTATTAATTTTTTTTGGTATTTCCTTTTTTTGGCTGGGGTGGGGGGGCATTGCCCACCCTGGTTCCGCCCCTGAACACGAGTTCTATTGACCTTACATGCTCTATCGTAGCCACTAGGCAGTTTGAGAGACTTCACCATGGTTGGGACTATAAGTGGTGTACATGCGCGTTGTCCATGGAAATTTTTTTCACTCCTGAGCATCTTTTCTTTAATGCATTACAAGATTTGGGCTATAATTTAGAGGATCTTTCAGTGGGGACACTCCTGTCATCTTTTTCTTTTTAGCCCTTTCCTAGGACAAACAGGTGGTGCTGATAGGTTTGTCATTCATCTCAAAGCTGTAATTTTTTTTTTTCACTTATATAACCGGATTTAATGTGTTTTCTACTTCATGATAATTTCGCTATCCAAGTTTGACATGCTCTCTGCTGTGATCTGCTTTGACAACAGAATCATTTTTTTTTTGTTTTCAGCTTGGAGTATTTGAAATGTCCCAATCGGGATTGGATGCTGTTTCAAACCCCAATGTGATGTTTTTAAGTGAGCAGCACCTAGATTCGGATTATTTAGCAGGACTAGCTGTTGCTGTAATTATGGATGGATCTCGAACTTTTCTTATTGAAATTCAGGTATCTTGTTTCTATACATCATTTTTTTACCTTTTTCCCTTTTAGTTTTCTGCATTTACTTCAAAGTGCTCATTGCTAATCTTATGAAGTTCTTTCAATTTTTCTAGCCCACTTCAGGCAGTAAAATCCATTGAGTTTAGGGAACCTTTAACTGCTTTAAGGTGTTCTACTTTTCACTTGCTTGACTGACGATTATGGAAAAGTTACATATTACGCATTCTGTTTTTTTTGCAAATCTGGCACAAACATTTATTGCACATTTTTCTTTGGTGGATAAGAAAGGTAAATACAGGGAGGAAGCACTGTCCTATATGTTACCTTCTTTCCACCTGATTAGGCAGCCTTCTTAACGGCTTAACCACATATTCTCTCCCAACTGGTACTTAAGTTCCACATCGTGATTGCAACAAAATTTTAAAGAAAGAACCACTCTAGTCTTTTATACTCTTCATGGGAATTCTTTCAAACCAAGAACTGCCTTATGCACCACCACAGATATTCCTTCTATGATGACAATATGGGTACTTGCTAGTTGCTACATTGGTAGCACTGGGCAATCTGATTTTTTCCCCAGACAAAAGCATGCCTTGACATCTACAAAGTATTATTCCACATAAAGCTTGATTTCCTGACCTTCAACAAAACCATCAGGATTGATCTTCCAATTTGGTGGAATCGGAAATTGGATGCTGCCGCCAAATGAGTTATGATCTCTTTTCATTCATTATTCCTCGGCTGTCACCTGAAGATGGTAACCAATTTTAGAATTCCTCTGTAAGTGTATTGAATGTGATTACTTGCAGAAGTATCCATTATTGTGCATGGATCTGGTTTCACCCCATGAAAGATGAGCATATATCCAATAAATGCACGTGTGAGATTTTCCAGACTGTCAAAGCATTAGCATTGTAACAAGTTTCAAAAGAATACCCTTGTGACATAGTGCCTGATAATACTCAGTTCCGTCATCGTCACACAGAAATTTTATGGTCATTGGAAACAACTCAAGTACTGATTGCTTCAAAGCTGTTTATTTGATATATTACTATTTTTCCTTTTTTTTCCCTGGGTTTTGTCTCTAATTAAAGAAAAAACACCATGATTTATAGAACGGAAGTCAATCCCATAATTTATTGTTGGATTTGTTTAGTTGGAGCTATTACAGATATTAGGCCTTTTGCTGTTCAAAATCACTCTCTTGGAATTTCTGTTGGGTTTTGGGACATCAACTTAAGTTAGAAAGAGTTCGTTGGCGTCCATTTGTATATAATACTTAAATATGGTGTTCTGAATTATGTTATATGGGCCTGTTAATTGGGAGCAAGTTTGTAAACCTTTGAAATTAGGCGGTTTAGGCATTCGAAAGCTGGTCCCTTTTAATAGAGCTTTATTAGGAAAGTGGTTATGGATATTTGGTACGGAACGCTATCGCCAGTGGAGAAGAGTTGTCTCGTGTCGTTTTGGGGAGGAGAGTGGGGGCTGGTCCTCCCGTCCAATCTCTGTTACGGGAGGCGTTGGCATGTGGAAATTCATTCGGAAGGGTTAGGATGTTTTCTCCTCACGCATTAGATTCAAGGTTCATGATGGTTGGCATGTTCGATTTTGGGAAGACTTATGGTGAGGAGATCAGTTGTTGTCTCATTCCTTTTCTAGACTTTACAGTATTGCTGAAAATAAGCACACTTACGTAGTTGACTGTTATCAACTTGATAGCAGTGGGGTTACGTGGGATGTGCATTTTAGGCGTTCTTTTCAGGATTGGGAGATGGAAGAAGCATTCGTTTTTTTGGATCTGTTGTATAGACAAAAGGATGTTGGCAGAGGGTGTGACGATATTTTGTGGGTCCCTTCAACCCATGGTAGGTATGGTGTCCGATCCATGTTCTTATGTTTGTCCAATTTCGTTAGTCACGATTTCCATGGAAGTCTATTTAGCGCTTTAAGGCTCCTCTTAGAGTCGCATTCTTTATTTGGACTGCCACTTGGGGAAAGATTTTGACATTGGATAATTTAAGAAGGAGAGGTAATACCATTGTTAACTGGTGTAGTCTATGTAAAGCAGACGGAGAATCCGTGGATCACATTCTTATGCACTGTCTTGTGGCGTACGATTGTTGGAATCTCATATTTAGCATTTTTGGCCTTCATTGGGTAATGCCTAAGCACTCCATAACTGATTAACGCATGGAGAAGATGCCTAGTCAAAGGTCATGCCTGTGATTATTGGAGGATAGTTCCACATTGTGTTTGGTGGTGTTGATGGAGAGAGAAAAATAACAGAAAATTTGAAGGAATGGAATCGTCTTTAGCAAATTTAAAAATTCATATTCTTCGTTTTCTTTTCTGTTATGTAAGAGGAAGCGCTTACTCCTCGATTGATGACTTATTTGATCTATTGGATGCTATTGGTCCTTAGGTCCATTTTTCGTTTTTTGTATTAGAGACGCGTTCCCTTTTTGAAAGCTTTTCTAATATTTTTTTTTTACTTATCAAAAAAAAAAAAAAAAGGTATAGTTGCAAATGTGTCTTAAGTGACCCTAAGGTCTAAATCTTACGATAATGGGTGTTTGCTTGAAATTTGTTCAAATAGGTACGTGTATTTGGGACTTGTCTTGTACATTTAATTTAGTAAATTTTATAACATTGTGTTTGCTTGAAATGAGTACAAATACGTACGTGTATGTGGGACTTGTACATTTAATGTAGTAAATGTTATAACATTGTGTATTGTATTGATGTTTTGTTTTGTAAGCATACATTCAATTTGAATTTAAGTTAAACGGGAAGTGGTGAAAAAGAGGAGTGTTCATCTCTCTCTCTGTCTCTCTCTCCATATGTGATGTAAGCGGAAGTGATAAATTTGTTCATAAGGAACAGGTTACTTTGAATCCACAAAGTAGGGTGTTTTGAATCCACAAAACGAGAGATAAATTCAGAGAAATCTGATAATTGTATTGATAATTGAATGAATGATTCTGATATCTGCATTACACATATTTATAAGGAAACTAACAGCAACACAAATCCTTATAGCATAAGGAAACCTAATCCCGAAAGGATACTAATACTCAAAAATAAGCCTAAAAATAAAGTTTCTCTAAAAATTCTGAAAAAAAAAATAGAGAAAGAAACCTAATAAAATAAAACTACTAAATATAAAATATGAGTTTAATCCGACTTCGTTTAGGCCTTGAACAAAAATCACAAAATAATCAACAGGCCTTCTATAATGTAATAAAACGCGATTTCGGAGCCCTAAACGAAGGTTTTCAGTCGAAAATCAGCATGGCCCACAAGCTTAAGCTAGTGGGTTTTTTTTCTCAAAAGTTAGTTTCCACCCAAAAACTATTCCTCGCGGGTTGAAAATGGACTTGTCAAACTACTTATCGAACTGTTCAGAATTCTGTCCTACATCAATCCCCTCTACTTCAGAAAAACTCATCCTCGAGTTTGGCTGCAAATAACATGAAGTCTCACCTACCACAAAATCACACTGTTCATTGCCATGAGAACCTCTAAAGCACGAAAACAAAGTATTTTCATTGGCATCTTCTGGAATAAAAACTTCTTCACTTGCAATTTGCTCAAATATTGATACTTCATCAATTTGAAGTCCGAATTCTTCCATACCATCTTGGACATCTGATTTAGAAAAATCATTATCCGGCTGATCATCAATTAATTCTTGTTACTCAATTTCAGCATCAAACTTCTTGTCACCATTTTTTTCTTTTGTCGTGCTAAAATTATTTTCTGTGTCTACCAACTTTTGCAAAGGAATTAATTTTTTTACATCCTGGACTTTATCTTTTTCAGCTATAATAGGTGAAGCAACATAAATTTGCTCTTGATCAACCTCAATAATAGTAGTCGTTGCCTTAACAAAATTATTATTATTCTTGATGCCACTATCTTTCTTGTAAATTTTCTTTGTAGACTTTTTGACAGATGAACTCTCTTTCCGACAATTCTGATATTTTTGATACATTATTTCCTCATAATTTGGTGGTAGAAATTTAGTCATTAACAATCGTTTCATCCTGTACAACGACTCAACAGGCTGTGATCCTTCCCTACTTCGATAAAACTGTATTTGCTCCTACCAAATTGAAACCCAACCTTTAAGCTTGAAGGAAACAAACGGAACTTGCTTGTTTTCAGGTACATCAAAATATTCAAAAAATTCTTCAACTTCTTCAATCCAATCCAAGACATCTTCAATAATAAAACTTCCATTAAAAGTTAGTAAGTTTTACCTGAAATTCACAATTGTTGCGTCTACCTCGATCACTGAATACAAACTCCTCATCATCGGAAGAATCATCGAAATAATTCTCATAGGCTGGATGCCTACGTGGAGAAACAAGAACATAACCCATATTCGGTTGGCTGCGAGACACATCATCAGCACAAACTCAAACTGAACCACGAATTTGGTTGCCACAAATTCCAAAACTAGTTACCACGAACTGTTCTTGAGTATGCATGGCTGCCCAAAAGGCCTTCACTCTGCGGTCATCGTCGGCAAAGTGGGTGCTACCAAAACGAGTAATCGTCATCAGTCCAGGGTAAATCAAGGCTCTGATACCAACTATAAGCGGAGGCGATAAATTTGTTCACAAGGAACGGGTTACTTTGAATCCACAAAGTAGGGTGTTTTAAATCCACAAAATAAGAAATAAATTCAGAGAAATCTGATAATTGTATTGATAATTGAATGAATGATTCTGATCTCTACATTACACATATTTATAATGAAAGAAAACCCTAATCCATAAGGAAACTAATTGCAACACAAATCCTTATAACATAAGGAAACCTAATCCCGAAAGGATATTAATATTCGAAAATAAGCATAAAAATAAAGTTTTTCTAAAAATTCTGAAAAAAATAAAGAAAGAAACCTAATAAAAAAAAACTACTAAATATAAAATATGAAGGTTTTTTTAAGAAGAAAAATATTCAGTCTTCTTATCTTTCAAGAGAAACGATTACAAGAT